GGTGGAGAGGGGTTGGGTTGAGTGTTGGTGAGTGGAGGGGGGTGGGGTTGAGTGTTGGTGAGTGGAGGGGGGTGTGGTTGAGAGTTGGTGGGTGGAGAGGGGTGTGGTTGAGTTTTGGTGGGTGGAGAGGGGTGGGGTTGAGTTTTGGTGGGTGGAGAGGGGTGGGGTTGATTATTAGTGGGTGGAGAGTTGGTGGGGGGTCCGAGACTGGGTCCATGAGGTGACCATGGCTAAGGTATGGCTTAACTTGCTGCTACCTAAACTGTTGAAAAATAGCAAACTGGTTTAGAATATCCTGACAGTACCCATCTTAATTGTTGTGTTTGTATGACAAACTCTCTTTGAACATAAAACATCAACATTTAATGCTCCTACTATTTTCTGCTTATGTATAAATCAAATATATTGGTGATATCGGTCATATTGAGTTTATATGAATACAAATATTATTTAAAATGATTAAATAAAGCAGTAAAACACAGATTACCTCAGTGATTTCAGTAGATGTTTTTTCCCTTGATTTCACACATACATATATATATATATATATATTAAAAAACTATTATCGAACAAAAGAATGGAGATTTATAAATCTACCCCTTTAAAGAATGTTAAAGCAAAGCTAAATGCTCTTGCACACTGACAAATGGACATTAAACCATGTGGTGCTTACCCTTTTGGAAAACATACGACTGTAAGTCTTATTGGTGCAACACATAGAGTCATGTGCTGCAGGTGCTCCTTTTACTATAGTGCATCTGTGAATACCCCTTTAACGACAGCTATGAGTGCATGCATACATACCCCAAATGTACAACATCAATAAAATGTACCTTCAAGGATTAGGGAACTACTGAAAGAGTCCCTTTAAAGATCACCACAAGTATAACAAATCCACAAAATTACTATGAGATCCCCTTATAGACAATCATGACCATATGCACGTACATGCTTTATTTCCTGTCTAAAGGGTCATGACCATATGAATATACATTCATACTCAGTTATTCCTATTTAAAGGGCCATGAATCTGACAACATATACTCACCTAGCCCTTTTAAGTGGGCAATAAATACCGTATTTGACGTAATAAGCGCCCAGGGCCCTTTCAAAATTAGGAATAGGGGACTCTTATTAGAATATTATTTTGGTGAAAAAAAAAACACAGTTGAAAGATAAATTTCACGGTTTATGCTGACAGCCTGAAATGTTTAAGTATGACAGAGGAATTTTTCCAACATTAAATTCCCCATAATTAAGGGTGCATGTAACACACGAGTGTGTATTATACGTGAATAAATAAGATTTGTGTACATTGATCAATTGGAAGGGGTGCTAATTGGGATTGTTCACTAGCCAATATCTTAGCAAATATGGCCGTGGGCGCTTATTAGAGCGGGGCGCTTATTACGTCGAATACGGTATATGCATATATTCTCAATTATTTCTTCCATCGGAGGGATATATAGAGTATATGCATACATACTCATAATGAATCTCTTTAAAGATTGACATGAACAAATGCATATATTCATGAATACAAAATTAACCCTTTAAAAAGTACAGTGGACTTTAAAAGCCACGACAAAGCTATCACCGGTTGTACCATCACCGAGTAACTGTTTAAACAGGAGAAATATGAATAACGGTAACCAGGGTAACATCAATAACTGTCAAAGAAGCAACAACAGTTAACACTCCGTACTCTATACCCAAAAGGGAATATAACAGTTTTAAATATTTCAACAACAAAGAGACCTTGAGAGAAGAAATAGAAACTAAGCAAAGCCTTGCTTAGAGCTATAGGTGTTCCCAGATAGATCAGAGCTGTCTCTCTCCATTTTATATTCAGAGCTGCTGATAATCAGCCACTGTGTGCTTAATTAGCCATTGTGCATGTATTTGTCCATTGTGCATTCAGTTTGACATAGTGTTGGAACAAAATGGCTGGTCATTTGACTATGGGTACCAAAAGTTACCTCCCTTTAATCGCAGGCCTCGTCATGAGAATAACTTTTAAAAAAATAATCAAATTGAGTTGAACAACATTTCTCAATATGCCATAATGTAATTTTTTAAAGTTATCTTATGTGCTGGATGTACTCAGGGAGCCAATCTAACATGGATGTAGTGAGACCTTGCATAGTTTCATATTCTTCATTCTCAATTCCTTGCAACAACCAGTGTACCTGAAGTACAAGGCAGCTATCAGGCTTAATGTCCATGGCCCTGTTCCTCAAAGCGATCTTAGTGCTACGTTGATCGTAAGCCTATGTTAAAGTATGGGACTTAGGATCACCTTGGCGCTAACATCGCTTTGTGCAAGTGGGTCCTGGGCCCCCTTCTACAAAGCGATCTTAGTGCTACGTTGATCGTAAGCCTATGTTAAAGAATGGGACTTACGATCACCTTAGTGCTAAGATCACTTTGAGGAACGGGGCCCTGGTCTCCCTTCCGGTTGCGTGAATGTAGCCTACAACAGGGAGCAATCACCCAAAACCTACCAACAGGGAGTCTATACTCATAAGACCTTTCTTATGTTGCCTGAAAATTTGCTGAAGTGACAATTTTTTTACGTGCTACATGAGCCTAATATGTGACAGAAAGCTTAATCCTTAGACTGCATGTCATGACCATAGCATACCCAGCTTTGTCAATTGGATGTGAAGTAGGAACAAACAACATACATGTATTTTGATTGACAGAATCACATGCTTTACAATGTTATAACATAACATAAATTTCACGGATTTTTCACAGAGGTTGTAGATTCAATTCAAATTTGTAAAATTTACATAGGTTTTAGAAAAAATATAATTATACAGGTGTATACAAGAGTATTTAATAAAACTTCATTTAATGAGGAGAGAACTCTTTTTCAATGAACTGATGTACTACCCTCACTTAAAATTAATTCAGCAGTCCAAGGGTTAAGGTCCTGTTCTCCCTTCCAGTGGACATCTTCCCGGGGCAAGTGAGTTAACTGACGATAAAAGTCCAGTTTCCACCCTTGCCGAACTAGGCTGGTATTATGGAGTTACATTTAGGCTGGGCTAACGAATCTATGCATAGTCATATCAAAATCGCGTAACGAAATCGAAATCCAGTTTGTAAACTGTCATGCTGATTTCGGTCAATTGCAGGATTTGCAAAGCATGTGCACCGCCAACTCGTTATCAACAGATATTTCCAAATCTTTTCATGATCTAATCAAGGTGCTCGCGATGTAAGACCCATTATATCACAATATAGATCTTGATTATCGATCAGATCGTCTTGTTTGAATCAAATGCAAGTGACACGCGAGGTGGAATCTGATTGGCCCATAGGAGAGATTTAGAAAGGACTTAACTCGTAAAAACCACTGGTGGCGCTACGATCGAGCCCAGGAATTCCAGCCTAGTTCGGCAAGGTTGGAAACTGGACTTTTAAAGTCAGTTAACTCTCTTGCCTCGGGAAGATGTCCAGTGGAGTGAGCCTTGCTTACAGCAGAGAGTATTCACCATCAGCCTATCATCAGGGAGTTTATACTGGACATAAGACTTTTGCTGTACAGCACAGCAACATTGCTGATGTGACGAAAATTTGATCTTGTATTTAGACTCCTTGTGATCAGACATTGTCTAACAATGTTTGTATCAACAAACTACATACGAAACATGTTAATTCAAACTTATTATTTCTTGGGTTGTCAGATCAGAATGTAATTAATGAAAATACCATCCTGTCTCAAACAGCATCATCATACGTATTAATTTCAAATATTTTCTGGATTTGAACAGTGTTTAAGTTATGGTAAACACAAGATGTTTTATGGATGACAACTTCTTTATTCTATAAAATATCTTGTCTTTACTGTTACTTATCAACTTCAAAACATGGCAATCAAACAGTGTTAAGTTATATACTACTCAAAAAAAGTTAAATAACAAATGATTTTTTCACATGACTATAGTTAATCTGTAATGGCCATGACCGATTAACAAGTCGTACGATAATTGGGTGTTGTGTAACTTGATTTGAGTAGAATACATGTTAGTTTAATGTAGGAACTATGCCCAAAGTGGCACAGGTCATAGATGTTTACCACTTTGGAGAAACCTACAAGCATGAGTGTGGAGCCAACACACCTGGAAGGTAGAAATCTATGATCTTTGGCGGCGTCTAAGGGAAGCAACTCTGCCTAGCAAATTGCAGTGCTTTAGACAACTCAGCCAGATACTCGACACTGAGCCTGTGCCCCCCAGCCCCCCCCACCCCTCCCCCCCCAAAAAAGTTTAATAAGTTTTGGTTGAAATAAACATATTTGCAGTTTGCTGCTATGGTATGTTTACTTAATGGCAAGTTTATCTGTAAACAAGAACACAATGGGCTGGTCTAAGGTCAAATATTAAACAGAAGAGACTCCATAAACACATATATCATTACAACCAGTATCTCTGAATAATCCTACACAGACATGCTCAAAATCACTTCCTTAAACACTAGTTTATACCTATCTAGGGTTAAAAGAATCAGAAATGAACTGTTTTCTAATCTCATACATTTTGCCCTCAGCTTTAGCGCTTCAGGTCAGTTATGAACTTACTATTTCACTGGTCCGGCAGAAATTCAAAATGCTGGTACAGTAAATATTTTGTGTCGGTACATGGCCTGTTTTACCAGTAAAGAAAAGTACTAGCAATTACCGGAACATGGAAACACTGAACGTTCAATAAAATTAACATAATTTACAATTACCCACTGTTTAGAATAAAGACGTACATGGTGTACTATCTACATAGACAAAATAAAAACAGAAAAGATTGGAGAGCGATATTTAACATGTTTGACATGAGTGAGTGAGTGATTGGGTTTAACGCTGCTTTTAACAGTATTCCAGTTATATTGCTGCGTGTCAGCTTAATGTGGGAGGAAAGCTCGAAGTGATGCAGGTCTTAGACGTTTACCACTTCGGTGAAACCAACGAGCACGGGTATGGTGGTGACAAACCTAGAAACATAATCTGGGTGAACCGGGATTCGAACCCACAATCATAAGTTTCTTGCATGCCCAAGGGACGCGACTCTGCACAGCGAATCACAGCCTTAGGCGACTGGGCCACCTGTGCCCCCTGTTTGACATGATGTATGTTTTGAGCAAGGTAGGGCAGTGAAATAAACTTCACAATTACAGTAGTCATTGTGTTAAGCACCTAAGTACTGAATGCTGATGGTATTTATCACATTTATGTATAAAAACCAAACATCTAAACGAGACCAAAGTTTATCACTTTGGTTAGCTGGTATAGAAATTAATGATGTTCCCCTTAGATACTATTTTCCCAACATCTGCTTAACAACAAAAAACAATCATGAAATAATGATAGATGTTAGTAACATGGTCATATTTTTGCAGTTACAGAGTGAGTGAGTGAGTGAGTGAGTGACAGGCCAAGGAAAATAATCACGACAGAGTTGGGATTTCAAATTCATGATCAGCAGATCCTGACATAGCTAAGGGACACCACTCTGCATAGTGCACATAAGAGCCCTGAGTCACCTGTGATGCATTGATGGGTGTAATTTCTTTGTGCCTTTTTTAAAATGTATATGGAATGCCATTAATTCTTTTCACAAAGTAACAGTCATGTACTTGATTAATATGTGAACACTTAAAGCCTGCAAATCCAGACACTTTCTTCCCAGTAAAATCATCTGGATAGAGAGTTAGTGAGATGGGTTTAACGCTGCTGTGAACAGTAATCCAGTTATACCACGGCATGCCAGCTTAATGTGGGAGGGAAGCTCGAAATGACGTTTACCACATTTACCACAAGTTGCTGACAAACCTCAGGCCATTATCAGGGTGAACCTGGAATCAAACCTATAATCATAGGTTTCTGGTGTCCCCAGGGGACGCAACTCTGCACAGCAACTGGGCCACCCTGTGACCCCTCCTGATAAAGAAGATCCCAAACAAAAGAATCAGCAGGGAGAGACTGGAGTTTTTGTCAGAGATAAAATTATTGTTTCAGTAACCTCTTCAAGGCATACAATTCTTTCTCTGAAGGGAAAAGCTGAGCAAGTTATTGTTTTCTCCGCAATGGAGACACTTCCTCCCCAGAAATATCCTCCCAATAACTACATACCAGACAGGGGAATCAGCAAATGTGTAAGGGTGGGAGGTGAATGCTTATCAGTTGCCTGTATTGAAATGTAACTTCAGTATCTGATAATCAAATTGCAGTGCAATCAGTCCACATTAAGCCTCAAAGGTCCTATAAGTTGATCAGTGCACCGTGGTCTCAAAAAAGATTCGGAACTGACAGCTGACTAAAACCAAGTCACTTTGGCTCATGATTGTGTGGCTGCCAATGATGTGGACTGAGACTGTGGACTGCATTGTTGGGGGGAAATGATGCTTTTTTCAATTTCCATTTCATGGCTTTGGGTCCAGTTACTGGATCTTAAATTAATGAGTTGATTTATAAGATATGTTTGGCTCAACCCATAGCCAGTACACATGCGCTTCCATTCCAGTGTGTGTGAATACACATGGTGACACTCTACTGCATGCTGAGTGAGTGAGTGAGTGAGTGAGTGAGTATGGTTTTACCCCACTTTTAGCAAAAACCCAGCATTATCATGGCAGGGGACACCAGAAATGGATTTCACACACTGTACCCATGTGGGGAATCGAAACACAGGTTTAAAGAGTGAGAGGCAAATGCTATAACCACGCGGCTACCCCACTGCATGCGGAAGTCTACAAACCTAGGCTCTGTTTAATAAAAAAACTTATCTCATTAACTCTTATAATAAAATCTGAACACACTAAAAAACAATGTCAATGTGCATCCGAAACAAGATAATTATGAAAAATAGATCTGAATTTAAAGGACAAAAAAGAAAAAGCAGGAAAACACTTTGTGTGAAAAGGACAAAACAAACAGGCTGCTCATCACCAATGTTTCACTATTCATACTGAGAACCACTTTCCATATATCTTTTAGCCTTGGAGTCACCTGCCACATAGTGCCTGTGTGGTCTCTCAGTACAGAGGTTTTACGATATGAAGGATCGTGTTATTGATGCCATAAACCAATCTGATCAACTTGGTATCACGATCCAATAAATATGCAAATGAACTAATTTCACACTCCATACATCGACACAATGTTTGCTCTCTATTGAATACCGTTCCCAAAGAGTATAGATGGGGATTCCCCATGTATGGCAGACTCTGTGGACATACATGGCTGCAAATCATTTGGGACGATAAAATAAATAGGGCAGTTCGCTCCAACTCTGTATTCATACATGTTTCTTAAGTTACTTCATTGAGCGTCTTTATGTCTTTAAGATTGATAATGTTAAGAATGTCATTATATGATAAAGTGATTATTGCTCTTGTGTGTTTCCTTATCATATATTAGGAATAAAGACTAAGTATTATGCTCGCCAAAGGCTCAATTCAGATTCCTACAATATGATATTAATGATAATGTAACACACTCAGCTAATAGTCTCCATTTCTCCTATGAAACTATGAGGCCTTGCTGTAGGTGTGACTTATCACTCTTATGTCACATATGTCCTCATTAACTTCGTTAGCAGCTGATAATGATCATGATGATTAAACAGACATTTGTTGCATACTTGAATGTAACCCTGAGAAATTGGAGAAATTGGTCTCGTCTGAAAGGTAAACTCGACACCGTACACCGCAGTTGACACCGTTGGACATATGCAACTAGTCTACAGCTCATTTTGAACAAGCAGTTAATGTGAAATGACTGGATTTTGGAATAACACAACCAATACCTGTAGATTTTCACCAGTCTTGAAGTAAGAGGAATAGTGGCTACAACTAATGGACCGGTCAATTATTGTAGGGGTGGGTACGACAAAGGAATTTCACTAAAAGTAATGACCTTCCCATAATGCTTGTCATATTTTTGGCTGACCCACCCCATGTCCCCATACATTTTGTTTTATGACCCTCCCTGGAAAGACAAAAACGCGAAAATCACTTTATACTTAATAAAAAAGTGTCCAATTTCTCACCCCCATCCCCAAATATGTGTATCATTTGTTAAGACCCTCCCCTAGACACTGTCATATTTAATGATGAGACTCCCCTGCTTCCCTCTGACCCCTCCCATAATAAATGACTGGTCCCTAACCCTTAAAAGCCATTCGATGCTTGAACCTTCCTTTGCCATTTCAAAGTCTCCATACCAAACACACTATCGTATAGATGAACCTTCTTGCTACATAAAAAGAATAAAACATAAAACATTACAGACAGGCTTCTCTTAAAGAGTGTGTGCCAGTGTCCTTTCCTCTAGGCCACAACTGCCATTCATTTGATCAAATTAGAAATCACACCAACAAAAATAAATTGCAAGTGATTCCATGGCATTTGATCGGCTAACCATAAACCAAATAAATTAAGCCACACCCACTAGTGGACTGTTTCTTGATTGGCTGATAACAGAGTGGGCAGGGCTTGTGTTGCATTATTGTACAGAAGGATGCCGCTGATTTTTTATCGTTGTCTACAGTTTTATGTGTAAATGATTAAATAGACAGTATGTTAAATTATTACAGTATTCTTAACTAATGTATTCCTAAGAACTGACTTCAATATATTTTTGCATCTTCTGAGATATCTTCGGAAAACACACCTGTGTGCAAGCACACCTGTTTTTACACTTAAACCTTCATAAACGGAAAATATATATTGAAGTCAATTCTTAAATGAGCATGCAGTCAGTTATTGCCACAATATTATCAAACTTGTTTTTACACCTGGAAAATAATGTCAGTACAAATATGACCATTAGCTAGAAGCAGTCTTCTGGCAGATGTAGGCCCATCATAATGATTGATGTTTTGACACACAAGAACCTTTCATTTGAAAAGTGAATGAATCTATAATTTGACACATCAATGGAACATGAAAATAAAAACCAAAGACCACAGTTGGTAAACAAAATCTGATAAAATTCCTACAAAAAAATGAATGCAATAATACTAGAAATCAAGACTTGGCTTTATCTACATCTTTTTTCTTATGTTTCTTCGATGACTTTTTCTTGCTTCTATGTTTATCTCGTTTACTGCCATCTTTCTTGTGTTTACCATGATGTTTATTCTTCTTGTGTTCCTTGGTTTCGCTGCCATGTGAGCGATGTCGGTTTTTCTTGCGACGATATTCAGAAGTGTCTCTGTGGTTTCTCACAGACCTCTCCTCACGATCGTAGTCGTGATCTGAATCTCTACGTCTTGTCTTCCATTGATCTCTCTGTTTGTCATATTCGTTATCATAGTCATTGTGTCTCCGCTTCCGGTCATCCAGGTTACGCAGAGTTCCAACGAGCATATTTTTCAGGAATCTTTTATTTGTTGCCGGCAGTGGACACTTTTGCCTGTAAAACATAACAGATGATATTTTTTAAGAAACAACTTGCATAGAAATAAATCTGTCTGTCGAAATTGTGCTAAGTTTGAAGATTAAAAAATGCTTTATCTGTGGACTTAAATGGCAACAGGGGCACAGGTGGCCCAGTCATCTAAGGCGCCGCAGTTCGCTTGTCAGAGTTGCGTCCCCTGGAAACCTGTGATTTTGAGTTCGAATCCCGGTTTGCCTGGATTATGTTTCTAGGTTTGTCAGCACCATTCACATGCTCGTGGGTTTCACCGAATTGGTAAATGTCTAAGACCAGCATCACTTCGGGTTTTCCTCCCACATTAAGCTGACATGCCGTGATATAACTGGAACACTGTTACAAGCGGCATTAAACACAACTCACTCACTTAAATTGGGACAAAACAGAACTATCATGATCACAGGTGCTCCTCTTTTCGACAACTGTGACTAATGACTAGCCTCACCATCCAAGAGCACCCTGTTCTTTCGCACGTTCTGCTCCACGCTGGGTTTCCTTCAGGATCTCCTCCATAGCTAGCCTGGGGACGCATGGAGAAATGTTATTAGTAATAGGTGAGATTATTGCACTCATATGGTGATGTGCATGCACGTGTGTGTGTGGCTGCTTGTACTAGTCCGTAGATTTATAGTGCTAGCCCACTGAGATACCATGCTGCAGTATACTGACTCCGAGCTGACCAGTCCTTGTTTTAGCCCCTTAATGCCGAGCGCCAGACAGGGTAACAACAAGTACCATCTTTTAACGTCTTTTGGTATGACACAGCCGGGGATCGAACCCCGGACCTTCTGCTCTCCACTGGACCACGGAGGCGGTCTACTAGCAGAAGTAATTAGATATGAGGACTGTTTGGTGTTAGTGTGTTTCAAATCACACAGGGTGGATTAACATAAAGCTGCTTGTGGTATGTGTGTTGTTCAATCCTGAGCCTACCTTCAGGACGTTTAATGTTTCACGTACAGGCCAATTATAACAGCACTGAAAGAAAACTCAGTTGCACAATGACAGGCTCACTGCATAAAGTGTACATACAACATTCATTACTGAAATAACAAAATATACAATAGCCTTACTCTCAGTTTGATGCAAAGGGGGTTACCACATTACCTTGCTGTTTACTTTAGGCATTTAATACTAAAGAATGCATCTGTTTTGAAAAAATAAAAATCTCCTTTTTGAGACCCTATCATATAGAATGGTCCCTTAAAAAATAACAGACAGGACCTGTTCCACAACATGACCTTAGTGCTAGGACTATCGGAAGTCTGTGTTGAAGGATAGGAGCGACGATCATTTTAGTGCTAAGATCGCTTTGAGGAACAGGGCCAAGGTATGTAAATCAATATGATCTTATTATTAATTACAAAACCTCTTGGAGCATCTCAACAACAACAACAATAGCAACAATAATGATATTAATGAATTATGATAATAAGTGCTCCATGGTTTTTCCTCTCCAAATTCATCAAAAAGAAACTAGACTTGAGACAATTGGTAGCCTTTGGAAATTTGCAATTGGTATCATTCATACCTGAGTGTATGACAAATATTAACATGATTACCTATCAGTATATGATTACCCTTATTACTTATTACACAGAGGCATTGCCCGGCTAAACAACCTCTCGCAGAACCTCGAGAACTAGAAGGTGTCAGCTGAGCTCTAATAATGGTAAACGTTGGAAGAAATGGTAACGATTCATCATTGTCTGGCGTTATGATCAATCGATCATAATTATTTTTCTTGGCAAGTTGTGATTCTTATATTTTGTATAGTTGTGTTGTTTTTTTCCAAAGTATTTGATGTGATCGCATGACTTTCAAACTTGCCATGATGGATGAAAGTTTGGATAATAAGGTTGTTGGATTTGTTAATCCTCTCTCAGTAATAGTGATTGACACTGTCTGATATATGCAGTAATCATCACATCATTTAGGATCAATTGTGCATGAGACATGGGGGCATTGTCTCAGTTTCACATATGTCAGTAACTGCATCCATGTAGACTCCTGTTTCTATAACATGTTTAAAGCACCAGGACTTTGACCGTTCTGAATCATTGTTTGAAACAATAGCCATCAACCCCCAAGTTTAGTCGGCTCTGCTTGCCTTATTCTGCTACAGTGACCACATCACGCAGATTAGGCTCATTAGCAGGTCAGGAAGCACTTCCTTCCATGGAATACCACTGCCTTGTTTCAGGTTTCATACAACCAAGGCTCAAAATTATAATTATAAGGACTAGTGGACGAAAACTGTTAGTTTCTAACCCTGATTATATTGTAATCTTGGCTTTTGATAAACACTGGCTTATCCAAACAAGCTTGAATTTTGTAAATCATCCGTATTAAAGAAAAACACACAATCTTTTCTTTGATTTTCCTCTAATAAAAACATTACTTTTCTGTGCTGAGCTCTGATGTTTTGGTTTGAGAAATGAATCGTGCATAGACTAAAGGTGTGCCATCACACTCGGGAATGTTTTCATGCATGATGTATTAAACACCCAGAGCCGTCAATGTCCTGGCCCTTTAAGTAAGCTGTTGGGGTTTTTGTCAGCACATGTACTAAACAAATGTGTACAAATAGCAGAAATGTGTACTTTACGGGGACTTACTGGACAAAAAGTCCTGCGTCTCATTTGCAGAAAAATTGAAAGAGCACAAAACAAAAAACAGGGTGTAACCACTTGGTGCAGAAAATGTGGATGCCTGTTAGGGCTGGGATGGGTGACTTGGGTAGGTCCTGAGTAGGACCTGGGGATCCACAGGACTACCTCGACCTGTAGCTAGTCATGTGATATACTGTTTAATGATAATAACAATACAACTACATGGTTATGCTACAAGTCGCTAATGTTTGCATTTCTTTCTGACTGCATGCTTTTCATCTGACTTTTATATCATTGAGCAATTATAAAGTTTCAGTCAACTTCAATGTGTGCATGATAAGATCATCTCATACATGTATCTAAACAGTTCTTGCCAAGCTGCGTTAAATTCCCACTTGGACATTTTGCACCCAACTCTTAAGAGCTACAGCGGGTACTCAGGTAGGGCCGGGTAATAGAGTGTTGGGTACCCGGGTAGTAAATTTGGACTTGTCCCAGCCGTACTGCCTGTTTAGGAATGAATGCTGCTATTTCATAATTCGCTAGGGTGCATGCACAAACAGATTTGCATTTATGTCACCATGGCAATCTATACAGAGGGTAATCTGTGGGACTCAATTTCTCATTTGGCCCTAATAACTACATGTAGTTAAAGTGTTTCAATTCTTACTTCAATGATTTATGATATCTACAATAAAGATTACAATTATGAATAGAGTTGTTATATGAATATATCATGCACCACTGTCGTCTGTTCTATAACATGTAAAACTATAAACTGAGGTAGTACAGGCCTAAATCTTTGCAATCACATAAATTTAAAATTAAAAAATACCACCATTCCGCAATGAAAATGAATTGTACATCTCACATCTGTATATATAAAAGTCAAAAAGCTGGTTGTGTCATCGCAACTGAGACAGAAACAGCTAAACTATGATCATAGTGGGTGATGCAAAATATGATCATTATTGATTAACAATCACTCATATTTGATAAGAAATTCAGTCTTGAAATCAAACCTGGTTTGCATAATGAAACTTTGAATATGATCATACTTTTCCAGTTCTTCGTCATCCATTTTGCATGCCAATGAAACACCGTTCCTGGTCAGCTCAGCTCCAGTGCGTATTTATTTAATCTAAAAGCATTAAACAGTAAGGTCGCAAAGAACACAACTGTAAACAAGTACTTGTCAATGGTTTTGCTCGCCGCCATCGGTGTTTACTTGATTTGCTACCTGTAATAATTTTACTGTTTACCAAGATAATAGTATACATTTAAGCTGTGCTGATACAGGTATCATACTTTCTAGCTTATATTCTAATTGTTGAACAAAGTATTGACCGATATATGATAATATTGCATCTTGTATTTAGAAAAGTTAATATCACAATTCTATTTCACGTGAATAACCTTCCTTTACACCGGCTAAACAACCTCTCGCAAAACCTCGCGCAGTATTACGAGACGGTGTCAGCTGAGCTCTAATAATGGTAAACAACGTTGGAAGAAATGGTAACGATTCATCATTGTCTGGCGTTATGATCAGTCGATCGTAATTATTTTTCTTGGCAAGTTGTGATTCTTATACTTTGTATAGTTGTGTTGTTTTTTCCCAAAGTATTTGATGTGACCGCATGACTTTCAAACTTGCCATGATGGATGAAACTGAAAGTTTGGATAATAAAGTGAAGGGTTGTTGGATTCGTGAATCCTCTCTCAGTAATAGTGATTGACACTGTCTGATATATGCAGTAATCATCTCATTATTTAGGCCGTTTGTGTGAGGATCAATTGTTCATGAATGCCAGATGAGTACATCAACACTGAATTTATTGATGCAGAAGAGAAGATTATCATATGGAAATATGACGAGGTGGTTTTGCTTTCTGACAAAGAACAATTGGCCAACTACCGTATTCTACGTAATAAGCGCCCAGGGCGCTCTCAAAATTAGAAATAGGGGGCTCTTATTAGAATATTATTTTGAGTTGAAAAATCGTAAATTATGTGGTTTATGCCGACAGCCTGTTTATATACGACAGAAATATCTTTCCAGGATTTAATTGCCCATAATTAAGGGTGCATATAACATACGAGTACGTATTATACACAAATAAATAAGTCTTGTGTACGTAAACCACTTGGAAGGGGTGCTAATTGAGATTGTTCACTAGCCACTATTTTGGCAAATATCACTGTGGGCACTTATTACGTTGAATACGGCAATTACATTGACTGTTTTTTTACTGTCGTATTGTCATACAGATGTTCAAAGATATTCACCATAATAGATTTCAAACGAAGAGCCCAGGTCAGGCAGCTTGGGGATACAAAACCATTAGTTTGTTCAATATTGGTACTTTAAGAAAAGTTATTTTGGTTAGAGGTATTTAAATATGATATTTTAACATTGTATTCAATGCAATAATGGAAAACTATGCATTAAAGCCCCTCCCTCCTTATTGGTCCTGTTCACAATCACCTTAGAAAACTATATGTACATAATTTGGTAATTTTTTAGTTCCAATTTGGGAAATCTTACTGATGTTTGTTGTTGACTTGGGGCAGATTATCGGCCTCTGAGAGGACCTTGATAAATCCCTGCATATAGTGCACCAAAGCACATTTTTTCAATTGTGAATGCTGTTACTATGGCGATATGTACACAAAGTGGGCCAAGTAAATGATGTATTGGTGTAAGTCCTAGAAAAAAATTCTCATAGGTGATGATGACATGTATAATGTGATGAGGAGCCTTTTCTTTACATCATCATCATCTTAACATGGTTTTGTAAACTTGCTGTGTTGCATTTCGACTGGATGGATTTTAATACGTTGAAGACTTCATGATGATATTCTTACAATGAAGAAGTATGACTTGTTGATACTAATATTAAACCTGTTATCACTCATGTGTTCACTATGTTTCCACAGGCCCCCAACATGCCCAAGACTTGAAGTATTTTGACCTATTAAGATTAGGTTTATCTCCGGTGTTTATTAGTTTACCCTGAGGGGATACCCTGTGACAATACGTCGGAACCTGGTTTGTTGGTAATTGGTAGTACTAGTCTATTACTCATGATTACTACTCCATTGTTGTTTTAAGGCATAATGGTATCATGGTTAATCTTTTGTTTGCATGTTTGTTATTTAATGCCACACGCAGTAATATTCCAGCTTTATGACGGTGGTCTGTAAATAATGGGGTCTTGACCAGACATTCCTGTGATATCATGTCTACGCAGTTGGGACACGATGACATGCATCAACCAAGTTGGCGAGCCTGACCACCCGATCCCGTTGGTGTCCTCTTATCATGGTTAATGTGATCCTTCTATAGTATTAAAATCCCTTCTACAGTTAACTGTGCTCACTTCAGTACATGATGTACGTACTGCTAGATTAATACTGATTGAGTGGGTGAAATCTCAGTCAAAGGATGCTGAGGCCTATGATGAAAAGAAGTATAATCTTTTTGTGATTGGAAATTTAGCTTAACATTCTTTAATGCTTGTTTTTCTGTGTAGATTTTGAGTAGATGAATATAAATGGATTTTGTGTAGTAATTTTGCTTAAATGCACCTGTTGGGGGATGCATCTGTCTTACATGTAACTGACACCCCCTATTCCATGCTTGACTTTTGCGATTCACTGAGCAACCGATTTCAAGTCTTTGATATGCATTTACAAGTTGGGAGAACATAAATACATGACACTTTTTAATGGATAGCAACTTCTTTTATTCTTTTTATAATTCTTTGGGGGCTCTCGGTTGCTAACCTCGTTTGGGCGTCATAAGCCACTCCATACTCAGAGCATGGAAGGCTTGTGGCCCCCAAAGAACATTACGCTATTTCGGTACTGTCCGGTCAGCACGACCAGGACTAGCTTAACTCTAGGGATCGTCCGGGTCATCGGACCCCAGGACCGGCATATCCCTCTCACAGCTACACAGTCCGGGTCCATAAGACCCCGGGACATTGTCATCTTACCCGGGTCTCCATGACCCCATGGTGTCAAACCCGGGTCACTTCGACCCCAGGGTCTCTTAGGCAACCGAGGCAGCCCCCATGTTGTGCCAAATGTTTATGTAAATATTTGTATGTAATAAAACTTCCTGCAATGTAATACATTTCATGTTGTTTGTGGCACAAAATTCTTTTTATGATGTTTCAGAGTTTCTTTTCTAAAACATTTGTGCAACCTATAACTTGAAAACTGCTGCAAATTTAAGGAACAGTTTTCAGTTTTACCAATAGAAGATGTGCAGTGCAATTTTAATTTTGACATGTGTATTTTTTGTGTAAATTTGATTTTTTAATGTTGTAAACTTAGAAAAACTTTTTTACATCAACATTTGTGCAACCTTTAACTAGAAAATTTCTTCATAGATTCTTTTCCAATTGGGGGTACAGTTTCTATTCCATCATAGGTTTTGATAGCTTGATGTTAACATGATTAATGACGCCATCATATAGTTGGAATATTGCTGAGTGCGGCATTAAACAACAACACATATACTTGATATTTACTGTTGTCAGTATAATGAAGTATGACATTGCTGAAATGAAACAGTTGTGGTCACAAAGTAACTTTACATTCATCAGATTCATATTCATCATGCACTTGCTCCCATGCTTTCTTTTCTCATTAAAAAAAAGCTCATTTATTTTTCTTTTTTTTCAGACTTGGCTGACATTTTCCAAGCTTAGACAGTCATGACAAACTTGTGACATTACCTGGTACATAAAGAAATTTAAGATACAACAATCAGGCTACACAACTACCAGTTTGTTAGTAATCCATCTGTGAAGCAGTTGCTTGTCTGACAGCACCATGGCCAAGTTCAAGGCTCAGATGTTATGGGACAACATTGAGAAGGGGGACCTGTCTGCCGTGCACGGGCTGCTGGAGAGTGGGAACATCAATCTGGAGGAGAGAGATGAGGTAGAAATCCAGGAGCCTGTTTCACAAAGTGAACATTACACCTACCATTGCCTTAATAAGTGCCCTGGGGTGGTTTATTACAACCATACACAACACATGTTATTTTTTGGATACACTTTCTTGGTAAAGTACGTATTCAATTACTTTTCTGGGTTGAGTCCCATTCGGGATTCGAACCCACACTTGAGTGAGGCATCTATTGGCAACCAGCATTTGTGGATGCTGCGGTGGGTTAGCATGGTTAGATCGCTAACTTTGTGTCCTTAGGTGCCTTATTCGAGTTTGGGTTCAAATCCCAGATGGGATTCAACCCGAAAAGGACTAGAATTGCTGCTTTACTAAGAAAGTGTAATCCAGAATAAAACATTTGTTACATTTGACAATTTTCTAAAAGGCATTGTGTGTTCACGTACGAGACAAGTTGAATTTTTTTTTAGAGATCGAGCAGTACTGAAAAGATTTAGTTCAAATGTTGGTGAAACTAAAACTTTATCCATAATACTTACAAGGCATTTTTATGCCCCTCTTACACTGTTGTTTTCTGTTAATAAAATCTGTAATATACACAAGAGACTACAGACTGTTAGATACATTTCAGCTCTCATTTAGGGGCAACACTGCAGGGTGGACAGCAAGTCTCTTGCCTAAGGAGACAGTGTATGTTCTTCAGTGTGGGGCTGGGCCAAAAGCCCTAGAAACTCTCAGGAGACAAGCTGCCGAACGCGGTCCCCTGATCCAACTATTCTCTGTGACTGACGTTGCTTAACTTCACCCAATTTGTGACCTGTGCGCTGTGCACAGGACCACGTGCCACCGTGTACTAACCTTATGAATATTTCGTATGTATGTGTAGTAAAAATGTTGGATGATATCAACATAACCAGGGCCCTGTTCCGCAAAGCGATCTTAGCGCTACGATGGTCATAAGTCTATGTTTAGTATAGGAACTATGATTGTCTTAGTGCCAAGATCACTTTGTTGAATGGCCCCAGAACATGAACATGAGCAAGCGACCTACAGTTAATCAAACTGATGTGCTGACATTTTTCATCTCTTAGCAACAGTTTGGAGAAAAAGAGTGAATATGCGATACATTTCTGTTGGACATGTTTGCAGAACGGTCAGACGTACCTGATGCTGGCTAGTGAGAAGGGGGAACTACACATTGTGCGAGAACTCTTAGATGCAGGAGTGGACCCCAATGCTGTTGATAATGTGAGTAAAATATACACTACTCAAAAGAAGTTAAAGAAACCTGATGTTTTCATATGACAATAGTTAAGGCTGGTGGGTATTGTAACATACAGCCTTCCAATTGTGGGTGTTCTTTAACTTGTTCACAGCTGTATTTGTTATCTGGAACATTAATCCCTATTTTGATATTCTCCTTCAAGCAGTGGGGCAGTGGGAAAACCTAGTGGTTAAAGCGTTAACTTCGAGCCCATTTCTGATATTCTCCGCTTGGATTTTTTGTGGAATGTTGCTAAATTTGATGTGAACCTATACTCAGTCATTCAAAGTAAATAAAAGTTTTTAAGATTTTAATTGTTTTGTGGAAGTCATGTGGAAAATTGTATGCAATGTGGAGAAAAAACTGTGACAACTAACTTAATGGTGTTTAACTATACATCTAACCACCAACAAAATATATTCAGGTTGATACGAAATGTTTCTTTAAAATTTATGTTTTATCATCTTTACCTTAAACTATCTTGGAGATCTTCTGTGAATTTCTACATAGACTCAGTAGCAGATCAGGGGCTGTGGGGTGGCCTTGTGGTTAATTTGTTTACTTGTCATGCCTAAGGTATGGGTTCAATTCCCCACATGGGTACAATGTGTGAAGCCCATTTCTGGTGTCTCCTGCCGTGATATTGCTGGAATATTGCTAAAAGGAGCCTAAAACCTTAGTCACTTGTGCTATAGTAGATTGTGTATGTTGTTGAAGTGACAGTACATCTGTGTTGCTCCATGTTCTACATAGACTTCCATTGTAAATCTGTGTTTCCCCCAGGACAACTGGAGCGCGTTGCTGTGTGCGGCCAAGGAGGGCCACCTGGAGATCGTCATAGTCCTCCTTGAGAAGAAGGCTTCCATAGAACACCGTGACATGGTGAGTACCTGCTTCCATAGAACACAGTGACATGGCCAGTACATGCTTCCATAGAACACTGTGACATGGCCAGTACATGCTTCCATAGAACACCACGACATGGTCAGTACATGCTTCCATAGAACACCACGACATGGTCAGTACATGCTTTCATAGAACACCGTGACATGGTCAGTACATGCTTCCATAGAACACCATGACATGGTCAGTACATGCTTCCATAGAACACTGTGACATGGTCAGTACATGCTTCCATTGAACACTGTGAAATGGTCAGTACTTGCTTCCATAGAACACCACGACATGGTCAGTTCCTGCTTCCATAGAACATCGTGGCATGGTCAGTACAACCTTCCATAGAACACCGTGGCATGGTCAGTTCCTGCTTCCATAGAACACCATGGCATGGTCAGTACAACCTTCCATAGAACACCGTAGCATGGTCAGTACATGCTTCCATAGAACACTGTGACATGGCCAGTACATGCTTCCATAGAACACCGTGACATGGTCAGTACATGCTTCCATAGAACACTGTGACACGGTCAGTTCCTGCTTCCATAGAACACCACGACATGGTCAGTACATGCTTCCATAGAACACCACGACATGGTCAGTACATGCTTCCATAGAACACCGTGACATGGTCAGTACATGCTTCCATAGAACACTGTGACATGGTCAGTACATGCTTCCATTGAACACTGTGAAATGGTCAGTACATGCTTCCATAGAACACCGTGGCATGGTCAGTTCCTGCTTCCATAGAACATCGTGGCATGGTCAGTTCCTGCTTCCATAGAACACCGTGGCATGGTCAGTTCCTGCTTCCATAGAACACCATGGCATGGTCAGTACAACCTTCCATAGAACACCGTAGCATGGTCAGTACATGCTTCCATAGAACACCGTAGCATGGTCAGTACATGCTTCCATAGAACACAGCAACATGGTCAGTACATGCTTCCATAGGACACTGTGACATGGTCAGTACATGCTTCCATGGAACATTGTGACATGGCCAGTACATGATTCCATAGAGCACTGTGACATGGTCAGTACATGCTTCCATAGATCACCGCGACATGGTCAGTTCCTGTATATCATTTTTGCTCTGTTTTCTTTCAGTAACTTTAAGATTCTATAAACAGTTTCACCTTATCATTGCCTGCAGTTAAAATGACATGTTGAAATTATTTTTGCCACCTTAAACATCCTGAAATACATATGCTACCTTAAACTTTGTGATAGCAAATTCCTGATATTAACCCATATCTGATTCAACACAATGCCAATTTGTACAGTTCCATAATAAATATTGAAACAGGGTGCTCTTAACACGCTTAATGTGTACATCGGAGCAGTGTAAACTATCCCACAGTACCTTAATGTCCGAGGTGTACTTGACCATGCTGTTTTGACTTGCTGTTTGTGTTGCAGTGTGGGTGGACGGCCTTGATGTGGGCCAGCTACAAGGGACACTCCATGGTCGTGCAGGAACTCCTTGACAGGGGGTCTAATGCTAATGTGAAGGCAGAGGTAGGTCTTATATGGTATAACCCAGTGGTGATTTATAATTATAATTGGCCCCAGCAACTAATGCTTTCTGTAAGAGGCAACAACATATATTGGGTGGTCAGGTTCACTGACTTGGTTGTTTGCATGTGATTGTATCCTGGTGGCTCATAATATCAATCACTGGATTGTTTGGTCAGGTCTTCATTATTTAAGGTCGAAAGTCATACAGCTAGAATATTGTTGAGTATAGTGTTAAAAACAACAAACAAACATATAAATCTGTTGAGTAAGGAACATACGATGTCCAGACTACATGAGCTGTATGTGGGAGTGTTTGTTGCAGCACAACATGACATGTCTGGCCTGGGCTAGTGGTAGAGGTCATACAGAGGTCGTCAAGAAACTGTTGGAGTGTGGAGCCAAGGTCAATGCCACAGACAAGGTAATGCTTCATCGAAGGTGATCTTACATGTTGGATTCTGATTAATGCAAATTCTGAAAGGACGTGCTGATGTTTTTCCATTGTGTTGATCTTTTGTGATGTGGCTTCAGCCGCGACTGTAAGTTCAAATTGTCTAATATTTGTTAAACAGTATAATGGACTTCAATTTAATATGGTTTCACTGTAGATTTAGTGATGTGTGTGTTCATTTGGTTCATTGTATTCATTAGCTCTAGTTGGCAAATGGAGACCATTATAATTCTGATCTTAACTGAAATAGTAACTGCATTGAGAACCCATTTTTGGAATGATGCTTGTCTTATACAGACATGATAGACAGGACATCATAAGCCTCACTTTGGATTCTGACACTGATCATCAGGGATGAATGTAGTTTGCAAGTTAGGCAACAGATTGATGAGAAGAGGTCCTATTGTGTCACACACTAAGCTGTGAAGATAAAATTAATTTGCAATTGGTTCCATGGCATTTGAATGGCTAACCAAGCAGTTTAAAAAATTAGGCCACGCCTGCTAAGGGACATCTGTTCCTGATTGGTTGATAACAAAATGGATGGGACTTGTGTTGCATTATTGCGCTGGACGATGTCAGTGATTTCGTACTGTTGTCTCACATTTATTTTTGTGTTGTTATTGTTTTTTAAGTATTTATAATTTTTGTGTTTTTGGAGAGATAAGTGTGAAAAACAGTGTGCAAAGTGTCCACACCATTTTTTACATTTATAGCTCCACAAACACAAAAAAAACATTGAAGTGAATTGTTAAATGGATGCTCACTCCTCCTGTAATTGTTTCACAGTATGGAACAACACCTCTCATCTGGGCTTCAAGGAAGGGATATCTCGAGATAACTGAATGTCTGCTGGCAGATGGCGCCAACGTTGATTCATCAGGAATGGTAAGAACAGATGTCAATGAAACAAACAGAACAATGTATCAATGTACAGTTCCAATGACTAAAGTTTATCTATAAAAATGCCAATCTGATCAGAAAATACAAATCCAAAACATAATACAAAAAAACAAAAAACAATTCTGTCATGATAGATTAAACAGAAACACTGATCTTTCTTGCTGCTGCTGAATTATTAACTTAAGTACAACATCTGTCATATCATTTCTTCATATACTCCAAGAAATATCATAATTCTGTCTCCATGGAAACATTGCCAATTGGATTTAACTGTTTAAAGTAAAATGATACTTGGAACTATTGTTTGTGTCCATGGTAAGGACACACTCTCTTTAGCCCCCGCCATTATGTGGGGCGGGGGATATAGGAACGGAGTTCGTCCGTCCGTCCTCTTCTCAAAGGGAACAAATTTTCGCAAAAACTGTTTAAGTCAGAGAAGATATTTTACACACTGATGTTATTGGTCATGATCTCAAATGAGTTAGAAAATTGGTGTTACAAGTTACATGAATGAAAGTTCACATGCTTATCGAAGAAATGCTTGTGTTCTCTTGTTTTACTTACTTTACAGATGTTTCACAGGAAAATACCTGTCAGTAGGTGGGAAAGAAAAAACATTCTATATCAACAAAATTTACAGTTGTAAGGCAGTTGACAAAAAACAGTGTGGCGCAATGTCAAAGGAATAAATATTTTCTTAATTTCGACATGGTAGTAAAATGTTATGATTTGATTTACACAGAACTCATGGACGCCACTGCTTGTAGCTACCCAAGGCGGTTTCCTGGACGTCGTGCGTGCCATTCTGGAACACGACCCCAATGTAAATGCTGTGGACAAGGTGAGCTGATTTGCACTTCACTGTCTGCCAGTGTGTTACCACGGTAACAGTGTGTTACACTCATCCATCACTGTGTGATTTGATTTTTGTTAAAAGTTCTAAACGTTATTGCTAGTGTTGCCTAATTTGTAAACAATAAGATCATAGATGTGGAGAATATTCATGTAGAACGTGGAGATGTGGAATAGTAGAAAGGTATTTCATTTTAACCGATTTTGAACTAATTTAATTTTAATATAAACAAGAAACTCATGGTATGATGTTACTATTGCATGTGATTCAGTTACAAATGGTTCTCGTTTCTCATGGCTTTCAAAACTGACTGGGTAGAGAGGGAGGATGGGATTATTTGTTTTATTTCTCTTTTATCATGTTTAGTTACAAATCTATAAAAAAAATACTTGATTCATATTCACCATGGGGCACATGTGGCCCTGACATCTTAGGTGCTGCAATTTGCTGTACAGAGTTGCGTCCCTTGGGAATGCCAGAAACCTATGATCATGGGTTTGAATCAGCACCATTCCCGTGCTATTGAGTTGTACCAAAGTGGTAAATGTCTGAAAGCGGCATCACTTCGGGCTTTCTTTCCACATTAAGCTGACAAGCCGTGATATAATTAGAATACTGTTCTGAGCTGTTATGCACCAAGTGACCCTTTGTGAGTCAAAGAATAAAGACATTGGCCTGGGGAGGGTTCCGTGTGAATCTGACACTATGAATGTCATTGTGTGTGCACAAGCTTGGAATCTTGTGTAAAAAACAACTTTAGTTGAAAAAAATGTTTCTTAGCTGTCCTAAAAAAAGATAAATATTTAAGGGAGGGGGGGGCATTTTCGGGATGTATGGGTCATGAGAAACAAAAACCTACCATGACTTTCCATGGTGATATAACCAAATGAGTTGCAATGTCACATCAAGGGAGGTAACTATTACATCATTTCAGGATGCTCTGACAGCTCTGGCTATCGGTGCCAAGGAGGGGTTTGTGGATATCGTACATGACCTCATGACCAAGGGAGCCTATGTGAATGTGGCAGATAGGGTAATTATTGTCTTGTTGGATATAGTGAACTGAACTGTTTCAATACTCCAGTTATTTAAGTGATGTAGAAGTATATTCAATACTTTTATTATCTTGCAGTCTATACACGTTTGTTTGTGAACACTAGGGTGTTGCTAAACATTGCACATTTCTAGGCTGTTACTAACCTTTGTAAACAGGGCTTGAAAAATCCACTCATTTGATTGTATTGACAAGTGGCAACATGTGCAGGATGAAAAATCAGTAAAGAAACACTCGTTCTACCGGGCGAGTACATATATTTCAATAGTATCATTCATCCCTAATAATTTTCTAAAAAAACAGTATAACTGTTGAGTGAGTTTGATGAATGTAGATTGCGGGGACTCTGAATTATTTTGTACTGTCTGTGTAGACCCATGAAGATCCGGGGTAAAATAGGTCTTCAGCAACCCATGCGTGCCATAAAAGGCGACTATACTTGTCATAAGAGGCGTCTACCGGGATCGGGTGGTCAGGCTCGCTGACATGGTTGATGCATGTCATCGTATCCAATTGCGTGGATCGATGCTCATAATGTCAATCACTGGATTGTCTGGTCCAAACTCGATTATTTACAGACAGCCGTCATATAGCTGGAATATTGCTGAGTGTGGCGTTAAACAACAAACGAATGAGTGAAGGAACGAACTGTCTGCGTAAATAATAACTGAGAACTTTATGAAATTTAGCTGGGCAAGTGGAATATTGCAGGACGAGTGCAAAATGTTATCTACTTGCCCTGCAGGACAAGTTGGGTACAAGAAAGTTTTTCGAGACCTGGTATTCTTCTTGGGTGTTACTAAACATTGAACATTTCTCAGGTGTTACTAAACATTGAACATTTCTAAGGTGTTACTAAACATTGAACATTTCTAGGGTGTTACTAATCATTGAACATTTCTAAGGTGTAATTAAACATTGAACATTTCTAGGGTGTTACTAATCATTGAACATTTAGATGATCTTCATAAACATTGCATATTTCTAGGGTGTTACAAAACATTACACATTCCTAGGGTGTGTATGTTGCCAATGCTTCACTGTGAACTGTGTGTGTGATGCTATTGCTTCACTGTGAACTGTGTGTGTGATGCTATTGCTTCACTGTGAACTGTGTGTGTGATGCTATTGCTTCACTGTGAACTGTGTGTGTGATGCTATTGCTTCACTGTGAACTGTATTTGTGATGCTACTGCTTCACTGTGAACTGTGTGTATGATGCTATTGCTTCACTGTGAACTGTGTGCATGATGCTATTGCTTCACTGTGAACTGTGTGCATGATGCTATTGCTTCACTGTGAACTGTGTGCATGATGCTATTGCTTCACTGTGAACTGTGTGCATGATGCTACTGCTTCACTGTGAACTGTGTGTATGATGCTATTGCTTCACTGTGAACTGTGTGTATGATGCTATTGCTTCACTGTGAACTGTGTGTGTGATGCTATTGCTTCACTGTGAACTGTGTGTGTAGGCTGGAGACACGGTGCTCATCCATGCAGTCAAGGGGGGACACACGGAGGTGGTGCGCATCCTGCTGCAGAAGTATGCTGACGTTGATGTCGAGGGATCAGTAAGTCGTACTCTCTCACTGACTGCTTGTACTTGTGCATGGCTAGAAAGTCCTCTAGCCCCAATAGTGATAATGTATAAAATTTGAGAGTCTTAATATTAATCAGATCAGATCTATTGCTCCTTCCGGACTACTTTTTACAGAAATAAAAGTTTTAAAAATAAACTTGTACTTTCATTATCATCTAGATGTACAGTTCTCAGATACCTTGTGAACGAAATGTAACGACACTGTCTTGTGAACATTGACCATTTAAACAGAACAGAACTATATGTGATCTATATCCATTTTGTTTCTGATGTCAGTAGTTACTGTATCACAACACTGAATGAATACATTATGTGGATGGATGTGTTAATCTGTGTGTGTGTGACAGGAGGAGAAGACAGCACTGTACTGGGCAGTGGAGAAGGGTCACACTGACATTGTCAATCAGCTCCTGGAGAGTCAGCCTGACCTGGAGATCAGCACAAAGGTCAGGGTCATACAAGAATTTATGCCTTATTGTCCTTTTAAATTTTGCAATACAATAGTCAACTCACTAAATGCCCTTCAAGAATCGCTTCTGTATTTGTAATATCTATTCATTACATGTTAACATCTGATTTTATAGAATTGAAAGATGAATCTACCGACAAATATATTTTACATTACAGTATTAGTACCAAATGTTGGGGGGCACGGGGGGCCCAGTCGTCTAAGGCGCCGCGATTCGCTGTGCAGGGTTACGTCCCTTGGGCACACCAGAAACCTATGATTGTAGGTTCGAATCCCGGGTCGCCCCGATTATGTTTCTAGGTTTCCTCCCACATTAAGCTGACACGCCGTGATATAACTGGAATACTGTTAAAAGCGGCGTTAAACCCAACTCACTCACTAGTACCAAATGTTGATACTGTATAGAGATTGTATCATCTGTGACTCTAGCCAAAAGTCCAATGCCCGAGTCTACTGAAATTCTGTTAGATCTAGTAAGGTCAGCTAATAATAATCCACATGATAATACTAAATACTACTGAAAATAATGCTAAATTCGTGCCAGTACACTCAAAAGAATTTGGTAGAGACTTTTGCTCTGACTGTAAGCAGATCTGAGAATATAGGAGAGTACTGGAGTGTATTGTGTGTTTCAGGATGGAGATACCCCACTGCTGAGAGCTGTCCGCAGCCGAAATGAAGAGATCGTTAAGCTACTTCTGAATAAGGGGTCCAAGGTGTCGGCCACTGACAAGGTATAGTATTAGTAGCTGTTGTTATAATGTTGGTCAGCCCTGTGGGGATTCCGGGTGAGTGTTGGTCCCCAGTAATCCATGCTGGTCGTACAAGGTGACTTGGTGGATCGTGTGGTCAGGGTCAGCGATTGTTGATTGTGTGTCCAATGACATGGATGGTTATTTGTGATGTCAAGCACTGAAGTGTCTGGTCCAGATTCGTTTGTTTGTTTGTTTATTTGCTGAATGCAGCCTTAAGAAAAGAACAACCAACTAATTTGATTAAGTATCTGAGACGAGAGGTTTCATAGAGTAATAAACAGTAAGACAGAAAAACTTGTCAAGTTGCGTTTTCTATCCATATAGTCACGATATGGCTGAAATACTGCCAATATGACTATATTTTTACTCAATCACTCACTCACTCTATATCCATATATAAATCACTTGTTGACACTATAACTTTTGGATGTTTCCCAGAGAGGTGACACAGCTCTGCACATTGCCATCCGTGCAAGAAGCAAGCGTATCACCGAGCTACTTCTGCGGAATCCCCGTAATGGCCGCCTCCTGTACCGGGCCAACAAGTCCGGGGAGACACCTTACAACATGGACACCTACCACCAGCGAGGCATCCTTACCCAGATCTTGGGACAGAGTAAGACAATGATATGTGTATGATCAATAGACGTAATACGATAGGCCGGGGATTCCAGGTTAGAGTTTATCCCAGTAACCTACGCTGGTCATAAGAGGCTACCAAATGGTTCAGTTCAGGCTGTCAACTCGTCCACTATGTATCCAGGGCTCACATTTGGTTAAACCTACACTAGCCCCAGGATCCATGTCTGTAATGCTCACGATCTCAAATTACCCAGCAGCTCAGCATCAAGGCTTCTAAATGTTTGGTACAGCATTCAGAGCAGGATATTTGATTTCTATCTCCAATATGAACATATGATGGGCAGTTCTGGGTGGAAAATAAAAAGGGTGTGCTGTATGTGTTGTGGATATTTTATCTGGTCGGTAGTTTCCGAGTGCAATGGCATCCACTCCCAAAAACGGTGTGAGCTCTCTTTGTTATTTCCTCATTTAACTGGTAAAGAGATTAAGATGCTGATATCTGATTGCCACAAGAACCCATACAAGTTTGTTTGCATTGGGCCGTCAGATTCATTTCAGGGTTCACCCGATGCTCCCTGATATTGATGGGTTGTCATAGCTTCATGTAGAGAGATATTGTATCAGAGTAACAGATCTCATTTTAATGAGATTGTGTGAATTGCATCATTTCTTCCCCAAAGTTTAACAAAAGCTGGCGTAGATTATAAAGAACACTGTTCTTCAGGGATTAATAAGCATATTACAGGGAATCTCAAACACGTTAATTCAGAAATGTTTGTAGACTACACCTACAAAAGGATAAGGTTTAAATTTGAAGGTGCTTGTTTCAGGAAATCTGAATGCAACTGATGCTGAAAACCTGTTGGGTTACGAGATCTACAGCAGCGCTCTGGCCGACATTCTTAGTGAACCAGGTCTCGTCACCCCCATCACAGTCGGCCTCTACGCCAAGTGGGGCAGCGGCAAGTCATTCCTTCTCGGCAAACTAAAAGGTAACCATGGTAACAGTGCTGTTGTTCAGATGTTGACTTCTTCGTGGTACATCATGGTTAAAAGTATGTGACATTGATGACGGGGCCAGAAATTATCTTGTGTAGAACAAATACCAGACCAATCCAGACCAAGAAGGTGTATTGATAGCTGGTGCTGAGTACGAAAAAAACCCCAACAATTGTGCAGTGTTTGATTGCAATGCTATTGTTCTAAAGTTGCCATTTTTCATGATCAACTCTACACATGCATTGACTATTTCCAGGTGAGATGAAGTCATTCACGATGCAGAATGTCCAGGGGCCCTTCACATTCAGCTGGGTTTTATTCATCACTCTATTCCTGATCAACGCCATCATTGGAGAAGTGTTGGGTCTTGCAGTAAGGTACGAGGTTGGCCTTGGTGTGGGGCTTGGTCTCTTCCCACTGGAGTATGGATTTCTGGGTGAGTGCTGCTGAATATCTCCATCAATATGTTCATCAACCTTCTCTGTTCTCTGTGATTGAACTGTAAATATTCTACGATAAGATGCACCCAGATTTATCTAGGCCTCAGAGGCCAATATTTGGTCCCATCTGCAACAATTGTCACATTCTGGAATAAATAATTTCCCAAATCATGTTATGTAGTCATAAGTAATGTTATAGAGGTTACTTCACTGACCAATCCGATAAAAAGACTTTAAGGCTTACTTTTGAATTGGTGCATTGAATGCAGTGTTAAGAAACTGAGAACAAATTTCAAGCATTGTAACTACTTTTACCCAATGTGACTGCCAAGCTTCAGGGCGCTAAGTTTTGAATCCTAGATAAATCGCTCATGTTCATGACATTAATGAGGAGATGCTGCACATTACTTATCGTAATTGTTATGAAACCTTGTTGACTTAATCCCGTTCACTTTTCATTAAAAATGATATGACTTTGTGATCCCTGCAGAAACTGCTTACATTGAACTACAGATACTCAATGAATTCCCGAATTTGTTCAATTCTTATCTGAATCCGACTTGTGAGAAACCTCTTTATTAGCATTACCAAGCCATTTGTATTCAAAATATAATGAAATTTGGTATACGTGTAGTTAGTGAGTGAGTGAGTATGGTTTTACGTCGCTTTTAGCAATATTCCAGCAATATCACGGCGGGGGATACCAGAAATGGGCTTCACACATTGTACCCATGTCGGAAATCGAACCCAGGCCTTCGGCTAACGAGCAAACGCTTTAACCACTAGGCTACCCGACCGCCCCCGTGTAGTTAGTAGTGAGGGTTTAATTATTATGATGGTCATGTCAAGTCTGTGTTTTGTCCCATAGGTATCCTGAACGTCTGTGCTCAGAGGTATGACATGAACCTTGCTGTGAGCCTGAGTCAGGTCCTGGGAGAGAAACAGCACCTCATCACACTGTTGATTAAGATGCTGTTCTGTAACCAAAAGAGACGCTCTTCCTCGGACAAGCTGGCTGCCTCTATCTTCTCTGTCAGGTGAGATTGTAGGCAGTACCGTGTGGGTTAATGTACACATTGTAGGGGAAACTGTTTCTGTTATATAGTACAATGGAGCTTGTTTCTCTTTACCAAGTTTGTCTGTACCCTTTTAATCTGGACCCTGCTAGTCTGGACCATGTTATCCTAGACCCTGCTAGTCTGGACCATGTTATCCTTGACCCTGCTAGTCTGGAACCTGTTATCCTAGACCCTGCTAGTCTGGACCCTGTTATCCTAGACCCTGCTATTCTGGAACCTGTTATCCTAGACTCTGCTAGTCTGGAACCTGTTATCCTTGACCCTGCTAGTCTAGACCATGTTATCCTTGACCCTGCTAGTCTGGACCCTGTTATCCTAGACCCTGCTAGTCTGGACCATGTTATCCTTGACCCTGCTAGTCTGGACCATGTTATCCTTGACCCTGCTAGTCTGGACCATGTTATCCTTGGCCCTGCTAGTCTGAACCCTGTTATCCTAGACCCTGCTAGTCTGGACCATGTTATCCTAGACCCTGCTAGTCTGGAACCTGTTATCCTTGACCCTGCTAGTCTGGACCATGTTATCCTTGACCCTGCTAGTCTGGACCCTGTTATCCTAGACTCTGCTAGTCTGGACCCTGTTATCCTAGACCCTGCTAGTCTGGACCATGTTATCCTTGACCCTGCTAGTCTGGAACCTGTTATCCTTGACCCTGCTAGTCTGGACCATGTTATCCTTGGCCCTGCTAGTCTGGACCCTGTTATCCTAGACTCTGCTAGTCTGGACCCTGTTATCCTAGACCCTGCTAGTCTGGACCATGTTATCCTTGACCCTGCTAGTCTGGAACCTGTTATCCTAGACCCTGCTAGTCTGGACCATGTTATTCTGAACCCTGTTTGTCTGGACCCTGTTATCCTGGACTCTGCTGGTCTGGAACCTGCAATCCTGGACCCTGCTAGTCTGGACCATGTTATCCTAGATTCGGCTGGTTTGGAGCATGCTATTCTGAACCCTGCTAGTCTGGACCATGTTATTCTGAAGCCCTGTTTGTCTGGACTTTGTCTTGGATCATGTTCGTCAGTTGATCTGAACTTTGTTAGTCTTGTCTTTGGTAGTCTGAACTCTAATTTGTCTCCTCCAAATTAATCCGAACCCTGTTAGTCCAGATCCTGTTAATCTGAACTCTTTTAGTCTGGATCCTGTTAATCCAAATCCTGTTAGTCTGGACCCTGCTAATCTGAACTCTTTTAGTCTGGATCTTGTTAATCTGACCCTGTTAGTCAGGACCCTGCTAATCTGAACTCTTTTAGTCTGGATCCTGTTAATCCAAATCCTGTTAGTCTGGACCCTGCTAATCTGAACTCTTTTAGTCTGGATCTTGTTAATCTGACCCTGTTAGTCAGGACCCTGCTAATCTGAACTCTTTTAGTCTGGATTCTGTTAATCCAAACCTTGTTAGTCCGAATCCTGTCAGTCTGAACCCTGTTGGTGTTTCTGATGGATTGAAATCTCTCCAGGGATCTATTAAATCAAAGTCTTCCTTAAGTCTAAACAATCTTTGTTTGGCTTTAAGATTGTTAATATGTTTGTAGGTATAAGAACCTTGTAAGTTTTGTAATTAATGTTGGATAATATTCCAATCTCCACAAAGTAGCAATTTATCTGTATCTAGTGACACTCATCAACTCATCAATTACATCGTTGAACACCGGGGTATCTGTTCATGGTCCATATACATTGATCATGGCTAGGTTTTACTAATTTATAGTAAGTTGTAAGGCCAGAAGGTTTCCATTTTTGTCTACATTTGCTTGTTCAATAGTGAAGTCAACGTTACTAGAAATAGTATTGCAACCCCTCTAGGGTTACTCCTGTAGCAGTTCAGGTAGCAGTGCTTGTTTCCCCATTCCTGTTAATCTCTAGTTCAGGAGTAAAATGTACATAGTTATCCAAATGTGTGAGGACTGAACCACGTGGCTCTCAAAGCGCAGGAAAATTGTGCACTCGTCACACTGAATCAGAGGCATGTAATGGCCTTGATCTTGCCTGTTACATTGTATGTTAGTCAACACATTTAAAGGCCCCTGCTTCTTAATTTGGAGAATCCTCCTACACCGATAATAATTTTCAATTGAATCATTTCACGTCCATCATGCAGGTTTCTGTTTTCTGAATGTACGCGGCTGACAAGTGTGGGAGGAGAGAAGTCCCTGGCAGCCATGATCGCCACGCTGTGTGAGGCCGTGGAGAATGAGTATGGAATCTTGGTAGCCCGTCTTTTCCGTGTCTTCAAACCTCGAACTGATCGTAAGTAAATTACTCCGAGTTATCCATTCTAAGACTAGGGTTACTGGTTATTTGATGGTTATATTGATTTGATTTTATTTAATTGTCATATTAAATACATGATCATGATGGTACAAGTGATAGAAATAAGCTTCAGCGTTACCGTTCATCGGTAATTGGTAGTAAATTTCTGGTAAACAAGGCCTTAGACTGATAAAATTGAACCTAGTGGTCCACTGGACCTGCAGTAAGTATGACATTATTTATGTTGAAATTGAAAGCTTGACCAAATCCCTATGAACATATTTGTGAATAAATGCTCTCTGAAAATGGAACAATGTCTCAGCCACTGGTTGATATAAACCATATAGTAGCAAAACGTGAACAGTAGTTTTGAGGGTAACACTGCGGGAAAGCAGATGAAAGCAGGGGTTAAGGGGAAAAATGAAAACAAGATTTTTGAAACACCTGCGATTTTTTACTTTGCTGCGTGCTAGTCTATTTCAAACCATTTTGCATTGTTTTGATTATACATGATCATAACAGGTCAGTGCATTGTTAATAGACTCATCAGTACGACATGTCACAGATGTTTTATGTCAAAAGTTCACACAAACTCTGTTGTCTGCAGACTCTAAGGGCAGGTTCAAGTCCATGTGTTGTATCCCAAACTTCATCTTCGTCATCATCTTCCTGCTGGTGGTGGCCGTTGGTATTGCGATGATTGTTGTCTACAAGATCTCCAACAACACAGCTGTTAATGCTGTTCTCATTGCGATTGTGTCTATCATCGGGCTCACCCTCATCAGCAACATCTACACCATTGCTCAGGCTACGATGGCCCTCCTGGTGTCCCAAAAGAAGCGGGTCCTCAGAGCAGCTGATAACGTAAGGGTATTTTGTTGATCTTTTGTTGCCCTTGTTGGAATTTCAGGTCAAAATAGATCCTCAGCAACCCTTGCTTGTCTTAAGAGCCAGTTGAAAAGTTAAGAGTCATTGTACCCTGATGGTGTGAATCTTTACTAATGCAGCCAACTGTTGGTTTCCATGTTGCTGATTTCTTCTGTTAATAGCTATTAACCATCTTTTGCATATTGCTGACTACAGCGTAAAACAGCATTCACTCACTTACTCAAAGATAATTAGTGTAAAACAAAATTCATTCATTCTTTAAGATATAAGAATAACTTAAAATTATCAGAAGTGTTCAATGATGTTTTATTGCACCGAAAGGTTTTTTTCCACAAACTACAGATCTATGAATATATCTGTCCAAAGCGCTGGGTCAGAAATTATAACCTTCTTTGTGTAGCTTGACGTGCTGAAGATGGATGGGTTCATGCAGCAACTGAAGCTGGAGGTGGACATGATGTCTCGCATGGTCAACTGCATGGACATCTTCACCCAGAAGCAGACGCGGCTGGTGGTCATCGTGGACGGGCTGGACAGCTGTGAGCAGGACAAGGTCCTCCAGGTCCTGGACATAGTCAAAGCTCTGTTCTCTGACGACAACGCTCCTTTCATCACCATCCTTGCTGTGGACCCACACATAATCATCAAGGGCATTGAGCAGAACCTGAGGTCCACGTTCCTCGACTCCAATGTCAATGGGTTTGATTACCTGCGGAACGTCGTTCACCTGCCCTTTTACCTGCAGAGTCAGGGTGTGAGAGTTCAGAGACAGGAGTCGGTCGGGCCAAGCAACTCTTCTCAAGAGAATCAAGCAGAGTCTCCAGGCAAACCTTACAAGGTTGGTAGCAGCTGACAATAGTTGCAGTCAAATAACATTAGCTTCAGGGGCAGATCCAGGATTTCCGGGTTCCACTTGGGCAATTCAATGGGGAAGGCGGGTGGGGTAGGAGAAAATCCACCCAGGATCCCACCCCAGATATCCCATTATATGTAAAGCATTATTATTTTTAGTTGAAGCACAGTTCACAAACAAACAACAGACACAAACACACCCACCAATCCGCTAAGTTTAATAGCATGGGAAGGGAAATTTGTAAATCCAGTGTGTGAGATTTGCTGCAGATGTTGTGTGGATATAGTATAGTGTATGATGCTTGGCCTGTTTCAGCACCAGGAGTCCATCTTGTCTACATCAAGTGAGTCCTCCAAGTATTCCAGGAAGAGAAGCAAGTCGGCCAAGTTCGGGAGTCTGACCGGGTCCCAGGGAGGGGTCAACACGTCGTCCTTCGACCTGTCCTCCCAGGTGGTGAAGAACGACTACTTCAGTGACATCAACCCGCGGAGCATGCGGAGACTGATGAACATCGTTGCTGTCACAGGTATGGGAAGCAGCAGCTCTGGCAGGATAAAACTGGAGAGAACTGGAGTGTTAGTGAATTGAAAGATTGGGTCCTAATGTGCATCCTCAGAGTTGTTTTTTGTTCTACTGGTAACCGTGGTAACTTGAATGAACTGTATGTCCAAAGATTGAATTGATAAGTCAGGTGATAAACATGGACATCAAAGATAAACACCTATTCAACCATTTTCAATACAATATTAACTCATGCAATAGAAAAGTATGATATGATAATACAATACAGTTTAATCCAGTGGAATATAATTAATATGTTTTAATACAATACAACATTCAAGCAAACTATGTGTCTAAGGTAAGGGGTGCACTGGGTTCTGAGTAACACTTTCTGTCTCCAGCACGTCTCCTGCGGGCGTACAACATCGACTTCAACTGGCATCGCCTGATGGCGTGGATCAACATCATCGAGCAGTGGCCATACCGTGTCTCCTGGATCATCTACTACTTCGAGGAGAGCGACTGTCTCGACCGATCCCAGTCCCTGCACTCCATCTACCAAAAGTCAGTGTTCTCTAGTGTTCATTTACTGCTTGCCCCCACAGCATTCGAGGTCAATATATTTAAGTATCCTTGTCTCTGTGTGCATTCTGGGTCAGAATAAGTCCGGAGTACACCATGTTTATCTCCCTCTTGGGATTCCAGGGCAGAATAGATCCCCAATACCTCTTGCAAGTCTGCTTGTAAAGATTTCAGGTCAGGGTAGGTTCTAAGTACACAATATTGTGTTTCCTTCTGGGTCAGGTCAGAATAGATGCCAAGTAGACCATGCTTGACCCCCTTTGGGGATCCCAGGGCAGAATAGATCCCCAGTACACCATGCTTGTCTCCCTTTGGGGATCCCAGGGCAGAATAGATCCCCAGTAGACTTGCTTGTCTCCCTTTGGGGATCCCAGGGCAAAATAGATCCCCAGTACACCATGCTTGTCCCCCTTTGGGGATCCCAGGGCAGAATAGATCCCCAGTACACCATGCTTGTCCCCCTTTGGGGATCCCAGGGCAGAATAGATCCCCAGTACACCATGCTTGTCCCCCTTTGGGGATCCCAGGGCAGAATAGATCCCCAGTACACCATGCTTGTCTCCCTTTGGGGATCCCAGGGCAGAATAGATCCCCAGTAGACCTGCTTGTCTCCCTTTGGGGATCCCAGGGCAAAATAGATCCCCAGTACACCATGCTTGTCCCCCTTTGGGGATCCCAGGGCAGAATAGATCCCCAGTACACCATGCTTGTCCCCCTTTGGGGATCCCAGGGCAGAATAGATCCCCAGTACACCATGCTTGACCCCCTTTGGGGATCCCAGGGCAAAATAGATCCCCAGTACACCATGCTTGTCCCCCTTTGGGGATCCAAGGGCAGAATAGATCCCCAGTACACATGCTTGTCCCCCTTTGGGGATCCCAGGGCAGAATAGATCCCCAGTACACCATGCTTGTTCCCCTTTGGGGATCCCAGGGCAAAATAGATCCCCAGTACAACATGCTTGTCTCCCTTTGGGGATCCCAGGGCAAAATAGATCCCCAGTACAACATGCTTGTCTCCCTTTGGGGATCCCAGGGCAGAATAGATCTCCAGTATACATGCTTGACTCCCTTTGGGGATCCCAGGGCAGAATAGATCTCCAGTATACATGCTTGACTCCCTTTGGGGATCCCAGGGCAGAATAGATCTCCAGTATACATGCTTGACTCCCTTTGGGGATCCCAGGGCAGAATAGATCTCCAGTATACATGCTTGACTCCCTTTGGGGATCCCAGGGCAGAATAGATCCCCATTTCACATGCTTGTCTCCCTTTGGGGATCCCAGGGCAGAATAGATCCCCAGTACACCATGCTTGTCTCCCTTTGGGGAGCGCAGAATATATCCCCAATAACTTGTAAAGACTACGGGTCAGAATAGGTCCCCAATACCTCTTGCAAGTCAACTTGTAAAGACTATGGATCAGAATAGATCCCCAGTATACCATGCTTGACTCCCTTTGGGGAGCGCAGAATATATCCCCAATAACTTGTAAAGACTACGGGTCAGAATAGGTCCCCACTATCCAGTTCTTGTCTCAGTAGGCATTCTGGTTCAGAATAGATCCCGAGTACTCTGTGTCTCCCTAAGGGGTCCCTGAGGTAGACAGGGTTCCTGGTACCCGGTGCTATTCTTTGGCTACGTTTGAGGATTCCTCTGTATCACAGGTACACAAGGCCAGGTGAGGCTATAGTGGCATAGATCGTGTTAGGTAGGCTGAGCATGTACTGTTGTGTTGGTCACCCTACAACTCCACCCCGCTTAAACGGCTCATTGTCTATAATGCTCATTAATTATGTGGACCTGTTTTAGTGTTGTAGAAAGGGATCACTGTATCATTAATCACATTATATTAGACCCGTGAAGATTTGGGGTAGAATAGGTCTTCAGCAACCCATGCTTGCAATAAAAGGTGACTATGCTTGTCAAAAGAGGCGACTAACAGGATCCGGGGGTCAGGCACGCTGACTTGGTTGATGGATGTCATCATATCCCAATTGCTTAGATCGATGATCAGGATGTCAATCACTGGATTGTCTGGTCCAGACTCGATTATTTACAGACCGCCGTCATACAGCTGGAATATTGCTGAGTGTGGTGCTAAACAACAAACAAACAAAAACAAACACAACATATTAATTGTTTGGCAGAATCGTTTACTTCATAAACCTTGGAGAATAAGGAGAAAACATTTCTTTTTCAGAATTGCTCCGAGAGTTCCTGCTTCCAAGGATGTTGACCCTCTTGTAGAGATAGACAGAAATGTTCGCAAGATGGAGGCGTTTTTGGCCAGCAAGTCTGGAAACACCCCCCTTCTCAATGTCGGTGACCTGAGGAAGTTTCTCCCCTGTACAATCAACCTTGACCCTTACCTTCGAAAACTCATCAGAGGTAGGTCTTTGATAGGTGTTTAGAAGTTTGTGATTCATAGAAACACAAGATATATGGATGAGCTTCTGAATTCTTTATACACAACGTTTTCAGGCTACTTCTTGCTCCTTCGTCAGGTGAATGATACAAATTGAGCAGTGTTTTACAGCTGTATACAAACAGCCTAGGTGAGGTCTGATAAGGTGGCGAAGTGTGGTCTCATGACAGGTGACTTACAGTGTGTTAAGAGGTGAACAGATCAATCCTGGTCCCATCTTCCCGAGGCAAGCATGTCCACTAGTCCATATGAAAGCCTAGTTTCTACCATTGCCGCATCAAGGCCACTTTTCTTGGCTCGACCCTGGTGCCACCTAACATAGATTACGAGTTGTGCCCCTTGTAATGAAAATGTGATATCCAATCAGATCACTATTCTTTGCTCGTATAGCTTCACTAAGATGGCGACTACCATAGGCGATGACCAAGTCAATCAGATAACGAAAACATTCGCGATTTCTTCCCTGACACAAAAACATAGGCAATCGTTGGTGGTTAAAAGATGAAAAAGACATACTTGTGTCAACAAATCACTTTCATGCGAAGGTGTACCAGTCATGGATGTTGATTTTGTGAAAGTTCTCTGATTGGACTGTCGATATGTGCGATAGTCCAATCATATTTAACACAGGAAAGTGGGCTTGATGTGGCAAGTGTGGAAACAAGGCTTTGATAAAAAGGGTAGTGGACACTCTTGCCTCGGGAAGATGTCCTGGTCCTAGTAACCTATGCTGGTCATAAGTGGCGGCTTCATGAATTAGGTGGTCAAGCTCGGTGACGGGGTTGATTGTTTGTCGTATCCCCGATGGCATGGAACATTGCTTGTTATATCACCGACTGAATTATCTTGTCCAGGTTAATTATTTACAGTCTGTCGTCATATGGCTGGAATAATGCTGAATGTTATACCACAAACATGAATGTAAATAATACTGATTAATTCTGTGTTTGGAAATACAGGTAAGTATCAAGCTCCTTGACCAACGGAAACGACTTTAATTATTATCCCTTTTGTAATGAAATTGGACCTGTGGGGATTCCGGGTTAGAATTGATCCCCAACATATTATGCTGTATGTATGAGGCGACCAAATGGAATGTGTGGTCAGGCTTGGTGGTTGGTGGATGGCATGTCGTCTTACCCCGACGGCTTAGATTGATGTTCGCAATATCAATCACAGGATTCTCTGGCCCAGATTTGACTATTTACATGTCAGCATATATATCGGAATATTGTTGAGTGTGATTTAACAACAAACAAACGATAAAATGGAAACTAAAACCCCTCATTCTCTTCAGAGATGCAACACAATGCCGACATGCAGAGGACAGAGTTTGGCCTGGGCCCTGTGTATCCTACTGGGCCGTCGGCTCCCTTGCTGGGAATGCGAGACAGTGACGCCACTTTGCCCACCAGAGGGAGCTTTGTAGGCCTACAGCAGAGAGTTCCGTCTGCTGCATCCTTTACTGGTATGATGCCTGGTCACATGATGCAGTATGGACCAATGGGGATGCAGGGTATGATGCCGATGCAGTACATGGCCCATCCCAGTCAGATGAGTCAGGGCATGATGGCCCCTCCACCAGTGCAGGGTCAGAGGACACAGCCACAGGTCTTCTTTCACGTGAGTGTTGTATTTCCATGAACACAGCAGCAGGGTGGGGTGGGGTGTGTGTTTCTTATTCTGCTAAAGACATAGGTAAGATGATGGTGAGACAAACTTAGTTGCTCACATGATAACATCTTCAGTTGACATTTTGGAGAAAAAAATATTAATCTTAATGTTATTGCTTATCTTTTACCCCACCTTATGACCAGGATTTCTTCACCAAAAAGTCTGTAACTAATATGAAAAAATCTTGTTCAATGGTATATGATTCAAAACACAACAGCAACAATATTGCAACATTTGCACAATGGTATTGCAATCGTATGTTCAGTACCTTTACCTGACCACAATGCATCTGGGTTTTTTATGATGTTAGTGAAGACTACACAAACAAGTATCAATATGTTTGAGTCTTCCTAAAAATATCTAGGGATGAATTCATAATAAAGAAAATACCAATATATTCAGCAGTAGAAACTAACACTTTTAGTCTTCTAGTCCTTATAATAATAACATACAGCAAAACCCTTAAAAATGGCAAATTTCTACTAGTCCTTATGATACCTTAACTATTGGGCAGTTTGGCAAGGACTATAGGACAAGTGCCAATTTCTAACACTGTGTATTGGGGCTGTGCAGTTGCATCCCTGCTGTGTACCTGTGATCGTGGGTTCGAATCCCAGATTAGCTTTCTGGGTTTGCCAGCACAATATCTGACATCATTCTGACTTGCTGTGATATGACTTAAATAGTGTTCAAAGCTGCGTCAGCTCAAACTCAAATCATTTGTGTTTCAGGACCTTCCAAAAGATGTTTGTTTGAGTCAGCTCAGTGTGGATTCTGTGTGTAACCTGCTCCATAAGCTGGAGGGGGTCAATCAGCAGATGCTTCCGATATACATTGACAGTATCCGTGACAACAATATCAGTGGCCTTGTCCTCGCCAACTGTGATATGGACGAGTTGGGCAAAGTCATGAGGATGAAGTTTGGAGATTGGCAGCTTTTCAAAGTGGCCATCTTATCTTTGATAGATTCAGAAGCAACTTTAGCCTCTAGCAACACCAGCAACGATGTCCGTGGAACGGACAGTAGCTCTTTCATCAACAAGCACACAAGCCGGATAGAGTCAGCACCAAGTCTCGAGGAACCCAGTAAAAAGTTTGCAGCCTCTAGTAGAAGCAGAGATAGCTGCACGTCACTGCCAGATCGTAATGCTCCGACAGACGCGGAAAGTATGCGTAGGGGGCGCTTCAAGCGTACTGACAGTATTGTACAGCAGCTGAGCTATGAGACTGCCATCTTGAGAGAAGCTTTGGAGGAGTTTACAGAGGAGACGTCAGATGCTGATGAGATGGACCAGAGAAATGACGAAGATGATGGACCGATTGTGTACAACAGATCCATGTCTGAGGAGTCTGCTGGTTACAGTATTGACAACTCCAGAAGAGACACATCTCAGACTTTCACTGCAACAATAGAGACTCCGTCGTCTGCCGATAAATCTGTAGAAGGAGCCATGGGTAGTGAGAAGCTGTATCCGGTGATTGACGATACAGACGATGGTCACAAATCTCGCCACGAACACGGACACACGAATACACTGTCTTCCAGCTTAGAGAAGCTTGCGAAACCATTCATTCAAGTCCTGGAGCATCCTATGGGCTACAGTCCTGCATCTGACAAGACCCCTCTCCTCGCCATACCTTCAGATAATGTCATTGAAGGTGCAACAGCGTGGTCTGCATCAGTTGAAGGGGGTCCTCCAGACGAGAGCAATTTCTTACAAGGTCACGGCTCAAAGCACAAATCAAAGTCGACTGATTCTGATTATGAAGAATCTACCTTGTCAGAGCCCCATGTTGCCACTTTCTGCATTGAATCAGAAGATTCCTCGGACAACACCATGGGCAGCCCGACAGCAGCATCACGCAGCCTCGAACCCAGGAAACAGTCGTTCGAGGACAGTGTTATTCAGTATTTTCGCACCTCCCCACCAGCATCAGAACAAGTGAGGATGAAAAAGAGCATAGAGTCTCTCCCATCGGAAGTAGCCGTGGAGATGTCTCCTGGAGCTCGCATGGTTACAAGTGTCTCTCATCCGGACAGAATAAAGCCAGACGAGGACAAGGAATCCTTTGTGTGAGGACAAGGAATCCTTTGTGTGAAAACAAAGAATCCTTTTCGTGAGAACAAAGAATCCTTTGTGTGAAAACAAAGAATCCTTTGTGTGAAAACAAAGAATCCTTTTCGTGAGAACAAAGAATCCTTTGTGTGAGAACAAAGAATCCTTTGTGTGAGAACAAAGAATCCTTTGCGTGAAAACAAAGAATCCTTTGTGTGAGAACAAAGTTGTAGGAAAATTCCTGTAGCAACTTCCAATATCATGATTATCTCGTGAAGAGAACATGACTTGTGTATCTTTAATGGGTTCAGGGCCTTGATGGTTCTGTAAGATCTGCATTGTCATCATGACTGATTACACCGTGTATTCTATTGAACATTTAATCAGATGTTTACTTCTATCCAAGATCTATTTACATTAGTGCTTACTTTTTCTTTAGTTCAAGTCCCAATGTGTTTTTGCATCGTACTGGATTATTTAGCTTTGTGTTTGTCGTCTCCTGCTGGTCCTAAATTTCTGTCCTGTCCAAAAATGTGAAAAGGTTTAATACAGTGATTGCTCTATATACCGCTGCCATCGGGGTTCAAGATGCCAACCCTGTGTTCTAGGAAAGAGCGTTATACAGATATTCATTGCTGATGATCAACACATTACGTAATGATGGTAGTGAATATAACGTTATATTTACAGCGGTATGTGACATGACTGTAGATCTATGTAACCATGATCGTAGAGGATGATTCAAAACGCACGCGTAAACATTTAATCGGTAAATTATCATGTCTAGTGATGTTTTAACTCAAATTTCAAATTTGTATTGACCAAGCTCATTAATTTGTTATCACCTGTTCGCTGATACCTGAATTCGCTGAAGGGATGCAAGTGGGAATTAAATCTCATCAATTTATTTGTCACTTTATTTGCATTAACACGCTCTTTAGGGAAATTCTTCAGGTATTTTTGGGAGCCAAGGTTTACCTCGTGCTGCATCCAGGCTAGCGGTACATCAAGGAGCGTTATGTCGAGGAATCACTGTATCTGACCATTCACTTGAGTATAAATAAAGACTCACTCGAGTGTCTTCCAAGATGAGGTGAGGTCAAATGGGGTTTAACGTCGCGTCCAAGATTATTGCACTTATATAGCGACGTGTATGTGTGTGTGTGGCTGCTTGTACTAGTCCAGACTGATGCCGATTTATAGTGCTAGCACACTGATATACCATGCCGCAGTTTAACATGAATACCCCACTCAGACACAGTATACTGACTCCGAGCCGACCAGTCCTTGTTTTAGCCCCGTAATGCCGAGCGCCAGACAGGGTAACAACAAGTACCATCTTTTAAGGTCTTTTGGTATGACGCAGCCGGGGAACTTCCAAGATGAAATATATCAAGAAGAGTTGGATAAAGTTGCAAATATCTGAGGCTTACTTTTATCAACAAGTCTTCATTTACTTGAGCTTGGAAGACACGAGGGAGAGATTCTATTTTTATCATACAAAATATTTCTTCCATTTTTTTCAGTTTGTATCAGTAAAAAGCAGTGTCTTGAGTGTAAACAGTACAGCTATCCAGCTTCAGTGGTTGGGGATAGTGATGTCATTTGATTGTGATGTCATGGCAACTTATAACATCACATTTGTCCTCAACCAATTTTGATGTAATTTCACTGTAGAGATATCTCTTTGGAGATATCGATTGATCTCACCAAGGCGATATCTCCTGTGGAGACAGTTTTGGACGATAATCATTCTGCTGTAGAAATTATGTTTACAAATTTCTTGTTTCACAGTATTTATTGAAAAGAAATCAAAGAAGGGAAGTTACTCTTCCAATTGCTTTGTTATTTCCATCTTAAGCCCTCTGTTTTTTTCATCTTTTTTTAAAGCTCTCACCATAACAGTAACGTCTGCACTTCAAATATGGCATAATAAGGATGAAAGTTCACAAAAGACAAATTATCAGTCATATTCTCAACCAATAGCAGTTTTGTTTTTATTTTTGTTTCTTTCTGCCCACTGACCCCCTTCCCACTGAAGCTAAGCATGTAGATGAGAAAGCACAAAGTATTTGGGATGCACTTACCAGTCAGAAGTGTCCAGTTTAACACTGAAATGTGTTCATTTATTTCTATTTATTCAGAAAAGATGCAGCCTCAACATGTTTCAGTCCTTTTAACATTTAAGTGGTTGTTCTATGACATAAACTTGCATAATGTTTTTGTGTTTCAAAATTCAAAGAAATTTTGATTGTTTGTAATTTTTTGTCTCTATCATGTCTAGTAATAATCATGATAATATATTGACATAAAATATTTTGCATCAAGCATTGTTATAGGTTTATACATGTTGTTCATGCTTTTCAGATGAATTCCATTTAATTAGATTTTTTATCTTATACATACCCAAAATTGTGTTGTTGAAAGGATTGTTTTTCTACCCTTTGTTGTCCATTCTTTCCATTTGTTGTCCATTGTGTCATGTAACAAAAGGGAGCACTGTCTTCACTGTTTGGAAAATATCCAAGGAACTTGATAAATTTACATAAAAAACTTAAATTGATTCTTATTTTACCAGACTAACTGTTATTTGCTGTTGTGTATTTTCAGATCTTTTTAAGGCAAGAACAGTTATAGATGGGTCTGCCCTTAATTTTACGAAAATACAAGTAATGTGATTTAAAAAAAATTATGTTGCTTTTCAGACTGAAAATATGCATGTCCTTTTGTTCAATTTATTCATTAACTTTTATTTCAAGGTATATTAAGTGCATTTGAAGGATGTCATTTGTGATTTTTTACTATTGTACTGCCTGAATTGTTTTTCCCAGTCTACAAAGGTTCTTCTTTACAAACATGGAAATGTTCGAGATACCAAGTTTACTAATCATGCTAATTGTACATAATAATAAATTACCTACACCAAACATGTTATTAATTATTTGTAGGGCTGGGACGATACACCAACTGTGTGATCCGATACGTATCATCATACCTTACTCATGATCCAATGTGTATCACGATACTTGCATGTGCTCTTATCTGTGGTGCGTAAACAATCTTTTTTCATAGCCAGGATGGCCAAATACCTGGCACACTGATGATTTACAGTTGGCAGTGTCAAGTATGGCGCAATGGATGAAAATATTACATTTTCACTAGAAATTAGTGTTTTAGGTAACATTTATTAAAGAATACATTTAAGGTAAGAATCGATACTTTTTGCTTAGTGTGCGATTGTGAACGCTAGTTAATTGGGGACTTAACGTGAGCTTTTGACATATATTGAAAAAATCGCAAGAGTACTTCGCACACAAATTGTGATCAATACTTGTATCAAGAAGTACAAAATCACTTATCCCATTAATAATTATTTGATGCAAAAATTATAACATACAGCAAGTACAATGTATTGATGGTTGTCCACGTAGCCTTGTTAGGTACAGTGATTGAGGTGAAGGATGCAACAGGCTGATGCATTGTGGGACATAGGGACAAAGCATCACATTAGGCTGAAGAAATACCAGTATTAAAATCCTAGACTAAAAAGCCTATTCACGAAACTGTCTTTCCAAAAATAGGAAAGGGAGGAGGAGAAGGAGGGGGAAGGGAGAAGGGGGAAGGGAGGAGGGGGAAGGGAGGAGGAGGAGGATTGTGGTTGATGTTGCCCACCCCAGAGACCATATACCGATATATGGTCTCTGCCCACCCTTTGTCATGGGACCATGTTTGTCTTGACATTCCAGTATTTCTGAGGGTGTGTTTGTTGTTTAATGTCACACTCAGCAATATCCCAGCTATATGACATCAGCCTGAAAACAATTAAGTCTGGATCAGACAATCCAGTTATATATAAGGGCCATGTTCCACTTCATTTGGGTACGCTAATTGACATGCCATGAACGAAGTCTCACCACCTGATCCATCAAGTCTTCTATGCGACCAGCATAGGTTGCTGGAGACCGATTCTAACCTGGCGCCCCCATGGGTTTCTCCTGTGTAGTTATTCCATGCCAGAATCCATGGTATACAGTTGAAATGTGTAGTGTTAGTGTTATAAGCAGCAAATCAGATGAAATGGTCATTGGTTTGGAGAAGTACCCATTATCTCACCCAAGAAACATAATATCAATATCATTGCATATGTATCAATAAACAGAAATGAAAACATAAAACATTTCCTCACTTTTTTTCATGTTTGATCTTGATTAAGTTTATTATGGTCGACATTAGTAGCACTATTTTGATAGCCAGGTATTGGTCTGTTATTCCCCACTTCTAGCTGGGGGCTTTTCACTATTCTAGAGTTGCTATAAAGCTGAAACATCGAAAATTAATGAGGTGCAGTTTGCTTTATTTGCTTTCTCATTCATTAATGTCATCCTTTTATTAACCAATAACTTGCAAAAATAATCTTAACACTGGAATTATTGTAAGGCTAACCAAAAAAAATAGTCTTGGTTCTCAGGCACTGCCCACATCATCATAAAGTTTGCCGCACGTTTCATTTTTATTTCCATTTTAAAAAAAAACACATCCTTAAATATTCCAAGTCCAGCGGTAGTCAAATACTGTATTCCAGTATTTTACTCATCAATGAATATATTTAAATAGGGAGGCCCTTTCCTGGGTTGATTGTACACAATTGCTTATTGATTACACAACTGTTTATTGATTACATACTAGTTTGGACAACTCCCCAAAAAAGAAACCGCCCGCCCGCACTATATTTTTAAAAAACATTGGCTGAGAACTAATTTTTTTCTATTGTTAAGCCTAAACGACTTGCACAAAGTGATTGTAGGCTCAAGTCTTTGTGACCAATTAAGTTTACAATTGGTCTGGACCAATTTAAATCCTTACAATTGACCAAGATGGCATCAAGGGTGCCATTTGTGAGGAACATGGCGTATTTATTAGGAGAGAATATTTGAAACAAATTTACCTCCACCTTTGAAGATTTTTATTTGTAAACTAACTGTCATACAACTGCACAAAGATTGGTTTGTGTGATAATGTATGGTGATATTGTGTTTGATTGTGAGCACCCGAGATTGATTGTAACCAGGATTGCTTCGTGCAGGTGGGTCATGGTCTTTGCTTGTAGTAGAACTAGTCCTGGCTCATCAACCCATCATACTGGGTACTATTCTACTAAACATCGATAAGGACGACCAGATATTTCATTTGCTTAACGCCACATTCAGCCATCGATCTATGCAACTGGAATATGACATGCATGAATGCATTTCTTTGCACTGCAGACATCATCTCACATACCACCACTTGTTCCCCCCAATGATGAACACCTGAATTTGTTCGACATTTGAATCTGAGTTTAAATATGGCAACTGACAGCAGCTTTAGTTAAGACTGTCAACAAAGATTGCCACTTAACTGTTGAATACATTTCCAGGTGAGCTAAAGTGCTGTGGCACTATTTTGCTTTCTGAAAATGATAATTGTTAAAATAGTATATACCCTACTCGAAACTCGAAACTCAAAACACTAGTGAATACATATTGTCCACAATTTGTAGCTTATTGGTCATTCTAGCTTGGAGTCTCCATAAAAACAGACAACACATGGCGGCATAATGTAACAATTTATTTGTTCTGACTCTCATCATCTTCCATCACAGCTTTTCATTCAATCATAACAAATCAGGACATTTTGTCTTGGTTCACAGATCTTAAGACCAAGAATTTCACAATGTTGAATAAAAATCTAATTCTTAGAGAAAACAATATTTCTCACATTGAGTCTGTTGACAAATGTCAGTATCAAAACCTCTGTTGGAAGGAAAGTAACACCTTGTCCTGCAATTAATATAAATAGCTAGTTGTGCTTTTTTATATAGCCTTTTAAACATTCACAAAAACTGCAATTTTATCTCCAATGACTTCCAACATGTTGAAAATACATCAGTAAACCAAGTACAGTAAGATACGTTTATAACGAACTGACGGATATAACAAACTTAATCTTTGGTCCTGGGCATTGCTGTATAGATGTTGTATTTATGCTTATAACGAACTACAGTTATAACAAACTGAATTAGTGGTCCATTTGTGTTTGTTATAACTGTAGTTACAAAAGAGAGGCCTTGGTAAATACAAGAAACATGAAACTGTTGTAGACCCACGGGTCAGTGCACTGACAAAATATCCTTCACATTTGTTTTTTTTGCTGTATAAAGATAGTGTGCCCAACATTGTATGAATCAAGGGTAGGAAGTGTGGACAGTACAGGGCCCCTTTCCATAAAGTGATCTGCTATAGTGATCAGAGCTCCCACACACTAACATAGACTGACGATCATCATAGCGCTAAGATCACTTTGTGAAACATGGCCACGTTATATTGCCCATCATGAAACTGTGACCATAACATTCTGATGCATTTACTAAATATTTTATATTTTATATTTAACTTTTCAACTGTTCTTATAAGTAAAGATTTTTAATGTATGTGATGCCTGACCATAAAACAAACAAAACTTCTAGAGTGTGTGAGTGAGTTGGGCTTAACGCCTCTTTGAACAGTATTCCAGTTATATCATGGCCTGTCAGCTTATAAATGTGTGAGAAAAGCCTGAAGTGATACAGACATTTACTATTTTGGTGCAACCCACAAGCATGTGTATGGTGCTGACAAATTTCAAGAAAATATTGTTAATATCAGACTCAAAATGACCAAACTGATTTGAAATATCAATCAGCTGAATATCAAATATATGATCGACACTGCATACAGATCTTATTATGCCTGTAGCCAGTGTAGAGCAACTGGAATGAACATTATGGTGGTGTTCCAACACAGATATGGAATGAAGTGCAAAACCCTTGAAAGTCAGACTTTCACTGACAGAAAACCAATCCTAGATAAGCTATTTGAATTGCACAATTGTCACAACGCAGGCTGTACTTATCTAGATTGCATTTCTTTTATTATCATCCCTCTTCTTAAATCTTCAACAATCGATTCCTGACAGAGGCATCGGTACAGACAACAAAATGTCGCAGTGTACAAAATAAAGATGCTGTAACAACTAAAAGAGCTAATCTGATGGCGCTGGGCAGCATCAGTTTAGGAATCCTGCAACAACAATAACAGCTGTGACCATTAATGTATACAGTCAGTTCTGCCAAGGAACCCTGTCTCTGGGTTGGGAAAACAAACTAAAAACATTGTCATGTTTGTGAACTTGAGCAGTTGTTGATCTTCCGTGGGCAAACATACACTGGTCCACCGAATTTCAAATGCCAACAATATGAATTTTCTTCTCTCGGCAAACTGTTCTAGCAAGCACTTGCATGGACAATATATATGAAATGTTTTACATTATAAATAAATATCACAGGAGAAATCTAAATGGATTTCAAATATAGAAACTATTGCATGTAAAAATATTCCCTTCAGATCATAAAAAATTCAAAACTACAGATAAATATCTTTTCTATTCTCCAGTTTTATTCCTCTTATTTTAACAACTTAGTATGAAGAAAAATAGTCACTTATATTACAGGATTCTCCACAAAAATTTCAGGAGTGTTTTTCTGCATTTGTCACATACAAAGAAATTATTGTTTAATGTTTTTGACAAATTTCATACATTATTTTTGGTTTCCTAAATGCTTTTGCAAAATGCTTAAATGATCCATAGCAAGCACCTGTCTCTTTTTAAAAAATATATCTTTTATGACCTCATTTCAATCCAAATATGTGATACTTGCAAGTCAGAATTCTCTGTTAAATAATTCAAATTTTGAATTTTCAGGCAATCTTACAATGAAATAAGAAAGAACACATTTCAACATATATTTGACACAAAATATCAGCTCTAATGATAAGAATATCTCACACAACCATAAAAATAAAAATGTGAGTCAACATAAATTTCCTTTCAATATATTTCAGTTTAACTGGTCCTAATGCTGGTCGATTTTTATACAAGAATTTGCTACATTTTATTTGCCTGACAGTGAAATGATGTGTTAGAATAGTGACGAAACACAAGAGCCGTATTTTCCACCTGGAGATGTCTCAAAGAAGTACATGGCTACAATAGCAGTTATCACAGCAATCACCATGAGTATCTGTGACCAGACCAGCCACTGAACACGCTTCTCCAGGCTGCTGTGACTTGTAACAAGTTCGTCCATCTGAAAGAAAACAAGTTTCTTATTCACAACTGTAATAATCTTTTCTGTATGTCATCATTCCTTTACTAATAACTTTCACTATACTTAATTACAACACTAAAATAATTTTGAACATTTGCTGCCTCTCCTAACATGAACTTCAAATATTTTACATGTGAGACAAGGAACCATTCAAATGTTCAAATTTCTAATCATCGGATACTCAGTAACACCTGATATTCTGTAAACAATAAATGTTTACCAACATTGTAAAATACAAATGTTGTCAGTAACTTTCTACTCTCACAGTTGTCATGATAACTGAACACGCTTGATTAGCAGTATGTCGGAAAACACAACAAATGTTTTCAACCAATCAAATTTCAGCATTCTCTCCCATTCATTTTGCAATGTGGTTGTTTTTATGCCACTTTTATATGCTTGCAAAATTTCAGCAATATCATGGCAGGGGTCACAAGAGCTTCAAAACCAGGTCTTCATGCGTGATAAGCCAACGCTTTAACCACTAGGCTAACCAACCCTCCATGTGAGTCAAGGAAGCAATCAGGCCAGGGCGTAGAACATTCCTTTATTCAGGACAAATATTCCCAAATCTCATTGGCTATTCTCTAATTCTTGAGGGTCAGTCGGGTAGCCCAGTGGTTTTAGCATTGGCTCATCACGCCAAAGACCCGTGTTCGATTCCCGACATGGGTACAATGTGTGAATCCTATTATGGTGTTCCCTGCCATGATATTGCTGGAATATTGCTAAAAGCAGCATAAAACCATACTCACTCATTCTAGTTCTTTAACATGAAAACATACCAGGACCTCTGACCACTGAGTTCCAAAGAACTAGTTATGTAGAACACATGTAAAAGCAAAGGTCAAACATGAATCTAATTATACAGATGGAAGGATACAAGTGATGCACAAAAGCGATAATTTGATGACTGGCACCCCACCTGTTTTGACATGCGTGCTACTTTGTCCGGCATTGACAGGGGTATTTCCTTGATGGGTGTGTCGGGGGAGCCCTTGCTGGCTGTATACACACAGCGCAGTCTGAAACAGAAGGTGGGAACTGGGATGTTTGTGTATGCCGGGAGGCAGGGGATGTTTTTGTTTTTAATAATTATTTAGGCTGCATTCACAGTGATTGATAATACAAGCAATGAACCATATCATTTGGGTACAATGACACACAATCAACTAAAATACACAAGGTAATCTTAATCTCTGAATTTAAAAAAATGCCTAGCAGAACAAAAAATACAAATTAAATGGTAAATCAACATGTCTGGTGATTTTTTATCTCAAATTTCAAATTTGTACCACCCGTTCGTTTATCAGAACTCGCTGAAAGGGTACGGTGTAATTTTTATCTGTGCATAATATTCGAATTTTTTTTTTCCCAAAATACTGTATCCGTTAGAGGGGGGTGCGCATTATACATGCGTGTGCATTATACATGGGTGCTCACTATACTCAAGAAAATACGGTAAATTTGTTTGCACGATGAGAGCTCTTATTGTATCAAGTTAATATTGTGTCAAATAGGTGTTTAAGGCCAGACGGTATATTATATTTCTGCGATAATTGTTATAATTCAAGTGTAACATATGCCGTGTGACACATTAATATCATAATATCTTATCCTTATCTTATGTTTGTTTGTTTGTTTGTTGTTTAATGCAGCACTCAGGAATATTCCACCTGTATGACAGTGGCCTGTAATTGATTGAGTCCGGACCAGATAATCCAGGGCAACAATTCAGGGTACGAGGACACGCAATCAACCAAGTCAAGGTGTCTGACCAATCAATCCATTATCAAGTGGCCTCTTACGCCCAGCGTAGTTTGCTGGGGACCTGTTCTAACCCAGAATCTCATGATACAGAGAAGAACAGTGAGTGAGTGAGTGAACGTTGTTTGACTCCAAAGTCAGCAATATTCCATCTATATCACAGCAACCTGTACATTTTCAACCAGACAAACAAGTGACTAATAGCAGGAGCAATGATTCACAACATCAATGCAGCATGACAAATAACAGCTGAAGCTCAGAGCATGAGACCCCGATCCTCTTTGTCAGCTCTTACAACAAGCATGGGTATTGGGGACTTTTTGCTTCCCAAGACTCCCTGCAGGGCTGATCAGAGTAGCACAGGCAGGGGGCTCAGACAGGGGGCACAGAGAGGGTTCAGGAGGGCAGAGTGGGGAAGGCAAGGTATAGGGTCGACAGAGAAGAGTAGAGTAGGCAGGAGGCATAGAGAGGGGTCGACAGAGAAGAGTAGAGTAGGCAGGGGGCATAGAGAGGGGTTGACAGAACAGAACAGAACAGAGTAGGCAGGGGGCATAGAGAGGGGTTGACAGAACAGAGTAGAGTAGGCAGGGGGCATAGAGAGGGTTCAGGAGGGCAGAGTGGGGAAGGCAAGGTACAGGGGTCGACAGGGAAGAGTAGAGTAGGCAGTGGGTCGGCCGGGAAGAAAGCTGCTGTTACCGGTGTTCCATGATGCTGTCCCTGGGTACAGACTTCCACAACTCGCTGATGGTGCAGTTGTCATCCGTCACATCCATTCCCATGATGAGGAACTTGTCCTTCTGGATGGTGCTGTTCTGGTAGCCTGTATGTGAGAGGTAGAATCAGTCAACGGACTGTCAAAGTGGCACACACATCTAGACACTCAACAAAACACATGTCAACCCTCTTATGCAAAATATAACTTTCCCTCACAGTGCAAAACTGTGATGTATTTCACACAGGATTTTCTGCAATCAATTTCTGGAGCGAGAGCGAGTGTAATTCATGAATTCTTACACCAATTTCGTACAATGAGTATGACACACATGTGAGTGCAATAATTTCATTTTTTCTTAATCCTTTTGAGCTCCCCTTTACAAAAAATGCATTGATCACCACCACTGTTCTAGAAAACCACAATTTGTCGAATGACGTCAATAATCTTCAGCTATGACATTGTTTCTAGTGTGACGTCATTCCATCCTTACCTCACAGTCAGATTCGAGTGACGTCAACAATGCCGCCCAGGTGACGGACACATTGCACTGGTGTGCGAGAAGTGATATTTGCACAAGTGCACATACGATTTTTATGAATTCGGTTATTTCTAACCCTGTGGGTAATATAAAATTGAATCTCACCCTTATGCCTCTTGATATCCAGTATAACAACACTTTTCAATAACAGTTCAACATGTTCAAAGTTAACTGTAATATTTTAGAAAATGAGACAGGTTTGGGCTAGTCATTACTAGTATGCTAGGTACATGTATTTATCTATGGAGTGCAAACAAGGGCCTTGTTTGTGCAAACACATGAACTGGAGGACTACCCACTGTGGCGGTTCACAACTCCTAAATATATATCCCAATATGTGCCCTGTTCACCGACCTGCCTGCAGGTAGACGTACACCTCTGTACAGGTTCCAGCCTTCACAACCCCCGAGCTGGGGCGCACACGGTACTTCTCGGGGGACGTTGTCTTCACCTTGTATGCCACTGCATACGGAAGTGTGTTGGTGAGAGATATAATGTCAAAAGATTCACGGCCATTCTCATCAACATTAAACTCCAGCTCCTCGGCAGGACTATAAAACACAAAACACAGACGAAACGTCATGGAAAGTTGAATATTAGAGATTATTATACAAGCATGCCGTTCCAGCCTGACGTCACAATAAGATTAGAATGACGTCAACAATGTCGTTCGGATGACGTACATACAATGTACTGGTTCACGACAAGTGATATTTACACAAGCGCACATACGATTTTTATGAACTCTGTTATTTCTAACCCTGAAGGTAATAAAGACTTTTCATACGACCTTCAAGCAAATATGGTTTCATATTTGAAATAACAGGGCATTAATGAACAAGAAGGAACAATATCTATAGTTCTCGCTGTTTGTAGCAATTAAGTAATCTCAGCTCATAATGGTCCACATAAGAACCTTAAATTCTACTGCAAATGATGTTACAACGCAGTGATGTCATAGTTTAAGAACAATGCACTGCCACATTCACATCCACGGTAAGCGATATGCAACCTGTTGTAAAATGTCTGTTGAATATGCACAGCTTCATTTTTGTGACAGAAACATACACGACAGTAAAAATTGTATAGAGAGTACAAATTATTTCCAGTCTCTCCTATATTATATAAACCGAAAACTGTCAATGAAAAGCTCTAAACAGTGTTGCAAAGAATCATCCAATCATAATACATATTCAATATGTACTCAAAACGAATGACATACCTGACAGTGAGTAGTCTGCCGATGAAGGAGTTCTCATCTCTATGTTGTTTCCGAGCCATCGGAGAGGGGCTTGTTCGCGGGGAACGTGAGTTTGCAGGAGACAGATTCTGTAATATCATCTTCATTATTAATATTAAGACATTTTTCCCTAGCCAGATTACACAAGTCGGCAAGAATGCATTATAACGGACAGCTTCCGCCATTTTGGTAAGGGATGTGTACAAGCTCATTCCTTAGTAAGTTTCCAACTTTTTCATACTCCATTTTTGGCTTCTCACGAATATAACAAGGGGGTTGAATAAAATGCTTTTGTAAGAAATTGTAATGTTTAATTACCAAAGTAGATCCAAAACATAAAATGTGTGCAGAAATGTGGCTCCAACGGATGTCACTGACGAGGTTGTTGCATGCCATTATGGACTTCTATTTTCAAGTTCTTTTTCGATGTGGATGTCCAATTTTCTAGTTTATGCATCACTTTGTTATTCAATTTCAAGGTTTAATCTTATTAAACCATACAAGTGCAAGCAGGGTAATTTTTCCACCCTAATTTTGAGCTTTATCGCCCTATTTTTCAAATAGTGATGCTGTCTAACTGCTTTATTAGTAGCAACAAACAAACATGGCAGGTAAGTGTCTAGTACAATGCATTAGAACCCACAAGCTCCACAGACCATGTGGTCCATTCCTAACATACAGAGAACAAGGCTTTGTTGACTAAGTGCATGATAACTATGGTTATCTGTCTAAAACAGGCGCCTTTGGGCATGCGCTACAGTTTACATGCATTTTAACAGATACTTATCCGTCCTGTTTGTTTGATGCAACTCATTTTTCTGCATAAATATTGAGAACAAAACTAAAACCTAATGATTTTAAGGAGAAATATACATGCCAATTTCAGCTCATTCTGGCAATTTCAGTTATGCTTGCAAGGCAGCTGAAAAGGGTGGCTGTAGAACTTAGAAACCTTCACAAAGGAAGGAGCTTGTGCACATCCCTTACCAAAATGGTGGAAAATACTTGTGCGTAATAATATTAGAAACATGGTACACATGCATCATACCGGACACCTATCCGCCATGTTTTTTTTACGCTTCTAATAAAGCAGCACGCAAAAGCATCACTATTTGAAAAATAGGCTTTACTTACGAAAACATTAATTTCAAGCTGTTGAGTGGGGGCAAGCGCCCAAACCCTCTGTTATTTTAGCGAGGCGGCAAAAATGGCATCTGAAAAACTTAGAAACCATTACTAAGGAATGAGCTTGTGCACATTCCTTACCAAAATGGTAGAACGGTATATTGCATTCTTGCCAGAAACAAACAAGGCAGACAGGTTGACCTCTAACAATTCCACTGGAAACAGTGCCCATCTATACAAAAACATGAACTGCAAACAACTTTATATGAATATAAATTCATGCATTTCACCAACATGAAAAGTGTCTATATTGGAACCTTGAAACATACCAGTGTGAGGGGTTTATTCTCCTTTGCATTAGAATTTGTGTTGATTTCCTCTTTGTCTACACTTCTGAACACAGCTGGATCTTGATCTGCAAAAGTTACCTGTAAACACAACCATAAAGATACAGAACACTCCAAAAGTACAAACCTTGTGGAAAAGAGGAGAAGAACCAAACCTATCAACTAATAATTCCTAGGCTGTCTATAAACAGATAAAAGAAAATACATACAGCGCATTTAGCAGTGAGCTTCAGAAATATTGTTACAACTGACTTGTTGCTAAGCAACCAGCTGCACTGTGTTAAATGACATCACAATGGTAATGATGTCATGGTTGACCAATAAAGAGAACAGAGGTGATGACATCACAATTGGTTGCTATGGTTACAACAAGAAGCTAGGACAGGCAACATGGAAAGCTGAGTATCATGAGATTGGAAAGTGACTACAGTTAAGAAATACTTTAAAGCATTTAAAATTGTTAATTTCAAGTGGTGTTTCAAAGATTTACCTTCTTCAAATTTCTTAAAAAGAGTTAGAGTAGAAAAAGCATCATAGGAATGTTAGTGTCACTGCATTTCATTTTACTGGTTTTTGATGTTTTTGAGTTTCCCGTTACCATGGCAACAGCTCACCTCTTTGCTCTGAAATCATTAAGAAACAAAAAAAATTGTATTTTTCTATTGGCTATCCTTTTATATAATGGATCAGGAATTTCATTAAAAAACCATAACTTGCAAACATTGTGTTAATAAATAAAGTGATAACAATCAGCAGCAGCTCACAAAAGATTTATAACATAGAGACAAAATTTATTTCTTGCTTCAGCCCATCGTTTAAAATATCTTTGTCTCAGACAACAGAACCCAGTTAAAGGTGGTTGGGTAGGAAGGAAGATTTCTTCATCCAAAACCATTAAATGATAATGGGCAGACATGATGATTTGGGTGGGTGTGTATATAAAGAATAAAAATTCAGGGATGTGAAACCTCCGCGGAAACATGGAAAATCACGTTTTTTAAAACAGCAGTCCTCGAAAAAAATCATCTTCCTCGTAAAAATATAATCAAAAAACGGACAACCATAGCGGATTGTCCTGTTTGATCGGAGCTTTCAGCATCATAGGTTTTTGGACATCATACGTTTTCTGTCACGAATCTTTGCACTATAACATTGGGTGTGGCGTCATACAGAAATTGTATATACTCAGATGATGGCTTGTTAAGCAATGTTAAGTTGATGGCAGTATTGCTCACAGACCTGGGGGGGGTAGCTGGGTGCACAGAAATTATGCCCGATTTTTTAAAAGTACTGATTTAACTTCGAAATTTTACTGCATCCGCCATCTTTGTTTATTTGACTTATTGACTTTGGCCATTGACTTATTACATTTCTTGGTGTGAATGTTGTCCAAACTGCACAAATTGCTTAAAATGCAATCAAATGTTTAAAATATTTCCTAGACCCCCCCCTAGAGTTTTCCTCTTTTTTTCAGGAAAACCTGCTCACATCCCTGAAAATTAAAGTTGGCAAAACTCTTTCTCACATCAGAGCTATTTTGCTGAGGTGGATGGTTTGCCTTATACAAAGTTTTTTTTGTGGATTTTTTATTTGATTTATCAAAATGCCAAAAGGTAAAATGAAAAAAGTTCTCAGCATTGACACAACGGTTGATTTGAGGTTAAAAAAAAAACAAGAACAAAAATATCTCAAATACAAAACCAAATATATTCAATCAACCGGCATTTTATTTTTTAAAACATAATTCCACTTTTGCAAAGAAAGGATACACCAGATACACTCTTGGAAAGAAACAAGAAATAAATTGGTCATGCCTTAGCAGAAAATGACAAGTATGCACCCTCTTAACAAACAGTCCTAAATATAAGCCGACAAAAATCATAACAATTAATATATTTATTAAACAGATAACATTAGCCAATGTTAATCAAACATATCAAAATCATTTTCCCCCTGAGGACAGTTTGCTACTGCTTTTACTAACCTTCAGCAATATCTTAGTAAGGGACAGCCAAAAGGCAAGCCAGGTAAACAGTGTGACAAGCTAACACTTTAACCACTAGCAATGTAACCTCCTCTTATGAGCATCCAAATGATTTCTAAGGGGCATTGGGAAGTCTTATCAAATGAATAGTTGTTCAGAAATATGCCAAATGAATGTCATTTGTTTTGTGGAAAATACCCAAAAATGAAAAATGTTGTGTTAATATTGAAAATTTATAGCTTGTTTGATGGTGCTCAGTAAAGTTTTTGGATACAGCTGGGAAAAAAATAGAGTGTTCTAAAAAACACCCACCCCACCTTTCCCCTCCCATAGAAATGGATGCGCCCTCATCCCATGATAGTGTATGGATCTCCTGTGTGTAGCCCTCCCCTGTATTGTACATCTCTGTTGTGGTGTATTGTACATCTCCGTTGTGGTGTATTGTACATCTCTGTTGTGGTGTATTGTACATCTCTGTTGTGCTGTATTGTACATCTCTGTTGTGGTGTACTGTACATCTCTGTTGTGGTGTATTGTACTTGTCTGTTGTGCTGTATTGTACATCTCTGTTGTGCTGTATTGTACATCTCTGTTGTGGTGTATTGTACATCTCTGTTGTGGTGTATTGTACATCTCTATTGTGGTGTATTGTACATCTCTGTTGTGCTGTATTGTACATCTCTGTTGTGCTGTATTGTACATCTCTGTTGTGGTGTATTGTACTTGTCTGTTGTGGTGTATTGTACATCTCTGTTGTGGTGTATTGTACATCTCTGTTGTGCTGTATTGTACATCTCTGTTGTGCTGTATTGTACATCTCTGTTGTGGTGTATTGTACTTGTCTGTTGTGGTGTATTGTACATCTCTGTTGTGGTGTATTGTACATCTCTGTTGTGGTGTATTGTACTTGTCTGTTGTGGTGTATTGTACATCTCTGTTGTGGTATATTGTACATCTCTGTTGTGCTGTATTGTACATCTCTGTTGTGGTGTACTGTACATCTCTGTTGTGGTGTATTGTACTTGTCTGTTGTGGTGTATTGTACATCTCTGTTGTGCTGTATTGTACATCTCTGTTGTGGTGTACTGTACATCTCTGTTGTGGTATATTGTATATCTCTGTTGTGGTGTACTGTACATCTCTGTTGTGGTGTATTGTACTTGTCTGTTGTGGTGTATTGTACATCTCTGTTGTGCTGTATTGTACATCTCTGTTGTGGTGTATTGTACATCTCTGTTGTGGTGTATTGTACATCTCTGTTGTGGTGTATTGTACTTGTCTGTTGTGGTGTATTGTACATCTCTGTTGTGGTGTATTGTACATCTCTGTTGTGCTGTATTGTACATCTCTGTTGTGGTGTACTGTACATCTCTGTTGTGGTGTATTGTACTTGTCTGTTGTGGTGTATTGTACATCTCTGTTGTGCTGTATTGTACATCTCTGTTGTGGTATATTGTATATCTCTGTTGTGGTGTACTGTACATCTCTGTTGTGGTGTATTGTACTTGTCTGTTGTGGTGTATTGTACATCTCTGTTGTGCTGTATTGTACATCTCTGTTGTGGTGTATTGTACATCTCTGTTGTGGTGTATTGTACATCTCTGTTGTGGTGAATTGTACATCTCTGTTGTGGTGAATTGTACATCTCTGTTGTGGTGTATTGTACATCTCTGTTGTGGTGTATTGTACTTGTCTGTTGTGCTGTATTGTACATCTCTGTTGTGCTGTATTGTACTTGTTTGTTGTGGTGTATTGTACATCTCTGTTGTGGTTTATTGTACATCTCTGTTGTGCTGTATTGTACATCTCTGTTGTGGTGTACTGTACATCTCTGTTGTTGTGTATTGTACATCTCTGTTGTGGTGTATTGTACTTGTCTGTTGTGGTATATTGTATATCTCTGTTGTGGTGAATTGTACTTGTCTGTTGTGGTATATTGTATATCTCTGTTGTGGTGAATTGTACATCTCTGTTGTGGTGTATTGTACTTGTCTGTTGTGGTATATTGTATATCTCTGTTGTGGTGTATTGTACATCTCTGTTTTGGTGAATTGTACATCTCTGTTGTGGTGTTTTGTACTTGTCTGTTGTGGTGTATTGTACTTGTCTGTTGTGGTGTATTGTACATCTCTGTTGTGCTGTATTGTACATCTCTGTTGTGCTGTATTGTACATCTCCATCGCAGTGCATTTTACATAGAACTCACCCTCTTCCTGGCGTTGACGGTAGCGCTTCCATCCCCCTCAGTCCGACTAGCACTGGGAACGTACTTGTACTTGAACTTATCCTGGGAGTGATGAAGACATTGTATAGGAAACTGTGCATTTAACGGAACTACACTCCATACAGTGTTCAGCTTGGCTTACTGTTGTTTAACCCTGCACTCAGCAATATTGCAGCTATATGACAGCGGCTGGTAAATATTTGTGTCTGGACCAGACAATTCAGTGATTGACATTATGAGTAACAATCAACACTGTCTGGATACCAAGACTGTCAGGATACCAAGACTGTCAGGACACCAAGACTGTCAGGATACCAAGACTGTCAGGATACCAAGACTGTCAGGATACCAAGACTGTCAGGATACCAAGACTGTCAGGATACCAAGATTGTCAGGATACAAAGACTGTCCGGATACCAAGATTGTCAGGATACCAAGATTGTCAGGATACAAAGACTGTCCGGATACCAAGACTGTCAGGATACCAAGATTGTCATGATACCAAGATTGTCATGATACCAAGACAGTCATGATACCAAGACTGTCAGGATACCAAGATTGTCATGATACCAAGATTGTCATGATACCAAGACAGTCATGATACCAAGACTGTCAGGTTACCGAGACTGCCAGGATACCAAGACTGTCCGGATACCAAGATTGTCAGGATACCAAGATTGTCAGGATACCAAGATTATAATGTTCTATTTATTACCGAAGGAGATTTCTACATACAGAGACAAATTTTTGTGTTTACCTATAAGGACAGCAAGTCGTAACAGCAGCTGAACCACAATTTGTCGAATCTTCAGCTATGACATCACTTCTAGTGTGACGTCATTCCAACCTTCCAACCTTACATCACAGGAAGAATCGAATGATGTCAGCATTGACGTCCGGATGACAGAAACAATACACTGTTGTCTCGTGACGTGATATGACCCTAGGGCACATATGATTTTTTTAACCCCAATACTTTTGCCCTCGTTGGTAATAAATGAGTATATTTTGAACCAGTACTGTTAATTGTGTGTAATATTCTGAATAATCTTGTAATGCAAGATGAACAATAAACCACTGCCTGGACACCCCATGACAGGACACATTCTAATTTCACAAATTTCACTCAATCAGCAATAAATAGTATAATATGTGCCTCTTCCATGCTTCTGAGAGCCATAGCACCACTAATAGATCCATAACCCATTCCGACCCCGCCCAGTGCCACTCCCGCCCAGTGCCCCAACTCACCGTGCCCCGACCCCGCCCCGGCCCCACCCAGTGCCCCAACTCACCGTGCCCCCCATGTGCTCCACCAGCTGGTCCTTGTTGATGTAGGCCTGAATGTCACTCCGCGTCACAAACTTGATCTTAGCCGCCGCCTCCGCACTCAGCCAAGTCTTTATCACTTTCCACGCAGCTACAATGGGGATACAAACACTATCATGGATTTTAGACCTTCTAAAAATTAATTTAATGCGAGAGGATGTTTCTTATTTAGATCCATCCAACCCTTTCTATGTAATGTACTTTATGAAATGTTAATAAAGCATCTGTCTTTGATACAGATAAATGAAGCATATCACTGTACAAGTCTGTTTATTATTTTCCAGGCAGATTCAGTGGCTATATAATAAAAAAAATATATTAATCAAATTTATAAAGACATTTGTTTAATTTGTATTTGAACAGAAGGAAGCAGTTGTCCGTGGTTTGACTTGGAATAGCTCATCCAAATACAACCATTGCTCAATGGGACTGCCCATACACACCCGTTGCTGTACCATTTGCACGTTTTTTTGTAAACCTCATGCTTTTCATGCACGGTATCTGACCAACTACGTTGAACAGCATAACGTTATGAGTTGACATATTTATTGTTGTGGGACGAAGACGTCCATAGGACTCCAGTCAGGAGATTGTTTTAATAACATTAGAGAGAACTTCCATTATCAGGATGTTAATACCATTGAATGATACAAAGCAGTTAATTATTCACACTTTCGGTGTAATAGATTATCATATTGGCCCAAAAAAGTTTTAAACAAATATTTATTCAGATATTTTACATACACAGTTTAAAAAATCAACACGAATCTCACGAGACGAAAACAGGCAGGCAGTTATTTCCATCTCTGTATTCAATAAACATAATAAATATACATATAGATTATAAAAAACAATTCTTACCATTCAAGATCCAAGGCATCTCAAATATCAGCATGTATGCTGCAAACAGACATAATTACCATTATTACACATTGCTGTTACCATGGTTACAGTACTCATGTCCTACAGCCTGCTTAAGTTCATATTAGAAAATGGAGTCATGTTACGTCCAGGGGTGCACAAAATCTTACTTTATGATGTAACCAGGCTAAAATAGGGCTACCAAAACATGTCAGTTTCAATGTGCTACAATGTACTTTACAAAGCATCCTCGATTATCCAGGATATTGTCTCCATTCTCTTATGATGAAGATCCTGGACCCATTCTTTACCAGAGCTTTGGTTTGAACCATATTCAAAATACACACCACTAATGATAACCGTCCAATCAGATTACAGTGATGAGCAAGAAGAGATCCTGTGCTGAGTGCCAAAAGAAATAGAGATGGAGGTACCACTTCCAAATTGAAGCTACGGCGGCGATTGGTCCAGGGTATTGATAACAACAGAAAGGAGTTAAAACACAGGACAAACAAGGAGTGAGTGAGGTTTTACACCACTTTCCGCAATATTCTAGCAATGTAACGGCGGGGGGACACCAGAAACAGACTTCACACACTGTAACTATGTGGAGAATCGAACCCAGGTCTTTGGTGTAATAAGCAAATGCTTTAACCACTTGGCTACCCTGGTTCCCAATTAAGCAAGGATGAAAGCAGTGATGAGTGAGTGAGTGAGGTTTAACGCCGCTTTAAACAGTATTACAGTTATATCACGGCGTGTCAGCTTAATGTGGGAGTGAAACCCATGTGCACTGGTATGGTTCAAATCCATCATCATAGGTTCCTGGCATGCCCAAGAGATGTAACTCTGCACAGCAAACTGCGGCTCCTTAGACGACTAGGCCACCCGTGCACCCAGGATGAAAGCAAGAATGAGGCACCCATAATGCCCCCCCGCCCCCCTCCCTAGTTCCTGTCTCTGACATAGTAAGGAGCAAGGTCTCACCCAGCATACAGGGGTAGTAGTACTTGAAGCTGTTGATGACGTACTTCACGAGGTCCATGTCCTGCAAGCATCAAAACATCTTCAGCAAAACAAGGCTGCTTCAGGGTGTGGAGACACACAGAGTAGGGTTATGTCATGGATATCATACCACACTGCACACTGCATTGGTAACAGTTTCTATAGAATTATTTTTATATATCATATACAGTGAGTGAATGTTGTTTTATTCTGGAATTAATAGTAGAGGGACGATACAGGATGCGTCGGTGGATCGCAATTTTTTACTTCTCGATACAAGTATCAATCACAATCGCACACTAAGTAAAAAGTATTTGATTCTGTATTAAAATCTGTTAAAAATGTATTCTTTAATAAATGTTACACCAACCACTAATTACAAGTGAAAATGAATATGAAAACATAATAAATATTTTCATCCACTGCGCCACACTTGACACTGCCAACTGTTAATCATTAGTGTGCCAGGTATTTGGCAATCCTGTCTATGAAAAAGATGGCTTACACAACACAGATAAGAGCACATGCAAGTATCGTGATACGTATCGGAATGTGAGCAAGATATCGTGATACGCATCGGATCGCAAGGTTGGTGTATCATCCCAGCCCTAGCAATTAGTTTGGTGTTTAACTCAACACTCAGCAATATTCCAGCTATGTGGATGTAAATAATTGAGTCTGGACCAGACAATGTAGTGACTGACATCTTGACAACGATCCAGGTAATGGAGATATGATGACATAATATAATCAACCAAGTAATCGAGCCTGACCACCACCCAGAGTGACCTACACAAACCCAGAGTGAACCACACAAACTTTGAAAAGACTAACAGGAAGTCAACACTAGCAAATCAGAAAGCAGCTTTCTGGAGCTTTAAGGCACAAGCTTCAAACTGACCATGCTGACAACTTCCATTCCAGACTAAACTTTTGAAAATGTTTTTGATTCAAAATTCGAAAACAGAACAAATCAAAACCTCTGGAATGTCTAATAGATGGCCGTGATTGTATGTTTATCCCTTTGAAGCGAGACAAAGACAAGGATTTTGATGGAATAAGTCTTACAGCACGTAGATGTAATTCGGAATACCCCGTGTTGACCTTTTCAATGTTACACAAATTCACAAAGGAGACAAGCAGGGGGTCACAGGGACGTATTCTGCCCCAGAAACCCCCTAGGGGAAGACAGGTGTCACTGACCAGGTGAGAGAGTCCGGCATCCTGCATGTCGAACATGATGACCACCTGCTCGTGTGGCGTTTCCTTGAAATGCTGCTCCAGGTGATAGGAGAACAACCGCTTGATGATGGGCAGGGTCTGGGGGTCCTTCTTGTGGAGACACACCCGGATAGTCACTGGAAGAAGATGTATCGTTACATTGTAGAATCTTGCTGGGCAGTGTCCTGCTTGTGAGACACACCCGGATAGTCACTGCAAGAACATGTATCATTACATTGTAGAATCTAGCTGGGCAGTGTCCTACTTGTGGAGACACCCCCAGATAGACACTGCAAGAACATGCATGGTTACATTGTAGAATCTAGCTGGGCAGTGTCCTACTTGTGGAGACACACCCAGGTAGACACTGCAAGAACATGCATCGTTATATTGTAGAATCTAGCTGGGCAGTGTCCTTCTTGTGGAGACACAGATAGACACTGCAAGAACATGCACTGTTACATTGTAGAATGTAGCTGCACGACAGAGGGTGTTTCATTCAGGGTGTAAACTGGGTTTCACAATGCATCTCTGTCGGGGCAGAAAGGGCTTCACAAATGGTGACCTTTCAAATCCATCTGGAGCCTGAAAGTTTTTGTTCTACAGCACAGACCATTAACACAGGTGAAAACATTCTACAGAGATGATGCCTGAGCATTGTGATGCAGGGAATATGATGTCACATGCTAAAGAGTCACCTCTTTACCTTGATATTAGTGTGTGAGTAAGTTTAGTTTAACATGTTTAACGCCGCTTTGAACAGTAATTTAGTTATATCATGGCGTGTCAGCTTGGAGAGTTCACTTTGGTGAACTTATTTGACAGGTATAGTGCTGACAAAGAAAGAAACACAATCAGGGCAAATCTGGGATTCAGACCCATGATCATAGGTTCCTGGTACGCCAAAGGGATGCAACTCTGCACAGCGAAGAAGACTGTGCCATCCCTGCCCCCAGTATTGATGAGGTATACAATACACTCTTATAGGCATTTATCCAATATTCTGAACATGGACCAAATGCTGTGAATAATCTTGGAACAGCAACAAAAATAAAATTATAGGCTACCTGATACTCAACGTTACACTGCATACTTACAGATTTTGTGGCCATCCTTGTCTACGTTATGGAAAAATAAGGCCCCTTTGTCCCACACCCATCTGTCAAAGCTGTCCTCGGTCACATCTGAAACATCAACATCATCACCAAATTCAACATCATCAACAGCATCAAGGGGGAGAACCATTCCAAGACCTTTTGTGCAATCTTATAAGTGTGTGAGTGATTCCTGTCTTATGCTTTATCAAGTTGGCAGCTATTTCCAGAAAGGAACCCGATGACAAGACAGCCTGACAAATATGCTTTCTATTTGTATTAGATCAAAATATTACCATTGATATACCACTTCACTCTCCACTCCACTTTACTTGCCCCATCTAACCTCCACTTCAGTGACATGCTGCTAATATTTACCAGTTATATCCCACTTCACTTCAGTGACATGCTGCCAATATTTACCATATATATCCCACTCCACTTCAGTGACATGCTGTCAATATTTACTATTTATATCCCACTCCACTTCAGTGACATGCTGCCAATATTTACCATATATATCCCACTCCACTTCAGTGACATGCTGTCAATATTTACCAGTTATATCCCACCCCACTTCAGTTATATGCCGCCAATATTTACCGTTTATATCGCACTCCACTGACATGCTGCCAATATTTACCATTAATATTCCACTCCACTTCAGTGACATGCTGCCAGTATTTACCATTTATATCCCACTCCACTTCAGTCATATGCTGACAATATTTACCGTTTATATGCCAATCTAATCTCCACTTCAGTGACTCATGGACCAGATCAACCGCCTCGTCTAGCCTCTCCTTGCCTCTGATGAATGTCTTGACATAATCATCGCTCTCCTTCAATCTGTCTACATCTCGCTTGTCATACACATCATTCTTCTTCAGGTTGTCTGGGAGACGACAGCACCATGATTAACACACAAGTATCAGACAAGAGGCAAAAATTCAGACCCATGGTTGACTGAGTGAGTATGGTTTTACGCCACTTTTAGCAATATTCCAGCAATATCACGGCGGGGGACACCAGAAATGGGCTTCACAGACCCATGGACTGGGCCAAATTCTTTGGACAGAATCACCCACATCCTATACAAATCAAAGATACTATTTCGTTAATTTTAGCATACATTACATCATAGAATGTGATTCCAATTTCCAGTTCATAACACTGGTTAAGTTGAAATCAAAGTGACGAAACTCTATTTCTTTTTGTTCGTTTGTTGTTTAACAGCTGATCTGTAAATAATCAAGTCTGGACCAGACAATCCAGTGATTGACATCATGAGCATCAATCCACGCAATTGGGATATGATGACATGCATCAACCAAGTCAGCGAGCCTGACCACCAGATCCCTTTAGACGCCCTCTTACGACAAGCATAGTCGCCTTTTATCGCAGGGCCTTAAATACACCAACAAATGGTGAAAGTGATAGGCCTCCAACACTGATGATGGGGTCACAATCATTGTAAGTCCAGTCTGTGTCCAAAACCTTTGTGTCCACCTGCCTGAATACATCTTCCCGAGGCAAGAGAGTTAACAGACTTTAAAAGTCCAGTTTCTACCCTTGCCGAACTAGGCTGGAATTCCTGGGCTCGATCGTAGCGCCACCAGTGGCTGTTACGAGCAAAGTCCCTTCTATGCCTCTCCTATGGACCAATCAGATTCCACCTCTCATATCACTTGCATTTGCTTCAAACAAAACAGTGGCGCCCAGTCAAGACGATCTGATCGATAATCAAGATCTATATTGTGATAAAACGAGTCTTACATCGCGAAGTGCATCAAATCACGTGAGCATCTTGATTAAAAACATGAAAAGATTTAGAAAATATCTGTTGACAATGAGTTAGCGGTGCACATGCTTTGCAAATCCTGCAGTCGACCGAAATCTGCATGACACTTTAAGAACTGGATATCGATTTCAGTATGCGATTTTGATTGGACTATGCATAGACTTGTTAGTCCAGCCAAAATGTAACTCCATAATACCAGCCTAGTTCGGCAAGGGTGGAAACTGGACTTTTATAGTCAGTTAACTCCCTTGCCTCGGGAAGATGGCCTGAATATGATTTCTTGCATCATTTTAGTAGAATACAGATTCAGGATATGGACAAGACATTTTACAAGACACAGGCTTTGGACTTGTGGCTAAAGTTGCAAACTGGAAGTCATTGTCAACAATGCCACTTAATTTGAAGCAGTGATCATTTATATTTTCTTTCTAAAAATGTTACTATTTAACTTGCTAACCTACAACAAGTGCAAACAAACCAAATATTAATCCTGGCAGATTTGAAACAGTATCACCAACAATTTGGGAAAGATTTAATGCCTTGGTAAACAAAATATAAACAATGCCCAGCTAAAAATTGCTAAAAATGTAGTTTTCTAGATTCTAACAAGATTGTTTTGCTATTTTGTCAATATTTCAAACTTCAGTGGAATGATTACAAATCTCAGTTGTAATAATGTCCGTTTTGTAATTATGTAAACATGATAAGGAAAACTTGGTGTATAGCTGTGAATTAGCTGGGTCACTGCTCTTTTATCATGTAAAAGAACATCCTCTATACCTCTATATAGTGCTAGCTCAGGAGATACCATGCAGCAGTTTAACATGAATACCCCACTCAGGCACAGTATACTGACTTCGAGCCAACCAGTCCTTGTTTTAGCCCCTTAATGCCGAGCGCCAGACAGGGTAACAACAAGTACCATCTTTTAACGTCTTTTGGTATGACGCGGTCGGGGATCGAACCCCGGACCTTCCGCTCTCTGAGCGGACGCTCTGTCACTGGACCACGGAGGCGGTCCCTGCATGGAGGATGTGCACCTAGTGAACATAGTCTCCGAATACAGGGTGAGCTCAGGGTTTTAACGTGACTTACAAAAGTAGAGGTCCCCTGGACCCCCAATATGACTTTCCTGTAAAGTAATGTAATGGTCTTGTGTACTGTTCGTTTAGACAGTTACCTACAGCCTGTAATGAATCAATGATCATGTGGACAGTGGTCATGATTGATTGATGAAATAACAGACAAAAATAACTGGTGTTGACGCACTGAAGGTACATGAATATTATTCTGCGTCATTCGGAATGCAGTATATTTTTTTCTGTGTCAATTCTCTACATTTGTGCATACTGGATGCACATTTGTGAGTCGCGTAAAACTTTGTAGCTGAACATGCTGACAACTACATGTATCTTAATCAAATATCGGAGTCGCTATAGAATATAGGTTCACCTCTATTTTCATTCAAGGATCTTAGGGCTTAGGATAGAATTAAGGAAGCAGAGAGCAGCGATAGGTTCCATCCGTCACTACCCATCGTAGCGCTCGGCAAGATTATGGGTAACCTACTAGGGCTAGGACGGGTAACTCGGGTGGGTACTGAGTAGGACCCGGGTACCCACAGGACTACCCGGACCCGTAGTTAGTCATGTGATATTATTGTTTAATGGCAAAAATATCTTGAACTCTATGGTTACACTATAAGTGATAAATGTTCACATTTCTTTCTGACTTTGCACACATTCCTTTTGACTTTATATGTTTGCATAATGATAAAACATCAGTCAACTTCAGTGTATGCATGACCAGATCGGGTTATACCTGTATCATAATTTATTTTGACAGGAGTGCGGTCAATCTATTCCCAATCGGACATGTTTTACCTATCTCTTGCGACCTGCAGCAGGTACCCGGGTAGGGTCGGGTAATAGGGAGGTGGGTACCCCGGTAGTACATTTGGACTCGTCACAGCCCTATAACCTACCCTAACACAACTAACCCTAAGGTTCGAATTGGCAGGCAATACTAAAAATGCTAAATATTTTTTCTGAGATGCATCTAGTTTTGATGATACTATTGGGTGGTGAACATATTCTACCAATGCACCCAAATCACAATGAAACACCCTGCAGAACTTTATACATCCCTGTCATAACATTTAATTAAGATCTAGATCTATAGCAACACGGACCTAATACAAGTCCGTGATATCAATTGCAAAATACAAAATACATTCTAACCCACTTTAGTACAACAGTTACCAGCTTCTGATGAGATATCAAATAAATAAAACAGACTGAGCTAATCAGTATCCACGGACTATGGTCGAGTTTGCCAAACGTTTGAAACGACTTAACGAGATCATACGACTTTTTAAAGTAAATAGCAGTAGGCTAATCGTCTCACCTGCATATTTCTTCTCGAATCCTTTTCGAACATAGTCAATGTTTTCGGTGGTTAGCTGAAACATTAGAATACGAAAAATATCATACAAACGGGTTTGAAACAGCAAAAACACAGAGCCGCGTGGAAACCAACAAACGCCGACTTACCTCATCCTTCGCCATTTTTGTTTTGATTTGCAAGTACTTCCGGGCTCAAAGGTCACAGCAGTGAGATCGTCACGTGAAACTAATCTTTACGCGTGATCAATACACATACACTCCAGTTTGAAACTGTCGTTAGATTTTCCTTATCATTTACGAGATAGACGAATGGTGTGATAACCGTAAGCAAAAGAACCCTTGATTTGTGGATAAAATGTAGCTGTCATGGTAACCATCAACGCGACCATGCAAACTAAATTAAACCCTCAATTGTGAGGCGCTACGTTCTACTGCTAGCCGTTGAAAAAAACCATACAAAATAATTATTTAAAAAAACCCAATAACAACGAAAACATTTACTTAGTTTCAAAGATATTTATAACACGTTATCCCTAAAATATTTATTCACTGACTTAGTTCAATGGTTAATATATTAATAATCATTAATTCCCTCGGAAAGGGATGTTTTTTTAAGATGCAGTTTGAAGATAATGATAAAAACGCCAACAGGGCTTGTCAGTAAGCCTTTAATATATGTGCAATGGAACAAAATAATCTGTTATCGTGATATATGCAAGTTGTCCATAAATGTTCATGTATGATATTTTTATATATATTGAAGATTTTTGCAAACGAAATGATTCAGAAGAACGAAAAAAAGACAGAACATGTTCACGATGATTTCAAGAACAGCGAGTCCTATAAATTTCAAACCTTTAATGAAAGACCCGAATAAAAAAATATATATGTGAAATATATAACGCTTCAATCGCTGCTGTGCCGCTCTGAAAGTGGGTTTGATTTTATGGCGCTTTATTTAGATACGAGTGGGTTTTCTGGGTAACAAGCTAACACTCTAACCACTGGACTATCAATAATAAATATCAATACATACATACATACGACTAATCGCGAAAGAAAAATCCTAAACGCATTATTCTACATGACACAGGCAGTTTTAGGGTATTTAAACCTTAAATGCTCTGTTCTGCGTTCTGGATCAACCATAAAGATGATAATTTGCACCTTTTACAAAAGAAAGTATACGTCCACGTTTGATGGTGTCTAAAAATGAAACAAACAAAAATGGTTATTCGATGGTAATGTATTTAATGCAGGTATTAGAGTTATGTTTTTGACCTTAAGTTTGCAGTGTTTTGGGCGACTATTATGAGCCTTGTAACGTTTTGATAACGTTTGTACTGTTTGGGTCAAATTTTCAAGTGTATACTTTCTTTTACCTAGCAGTCAGTTTCTCTCTCATTAGGCTACGTGACCAGTTTCATTGGTGTCCCCACTCAATGTGATATACGGCTGTATATAAACGTAGAGTTGGATGTCACTTTAAGTGTATATGAAACGGAAACATGTGTCATGTTAGATAGGCGTCAATATCTGAAGATTTGAGAGAGGTGACTTTCCGTGTCCTTCCATACTGAAGGACAGTCACACAGCCAGCGTCTCATCATGTCGGTAAGTGCTTTGAAATGTTGCAGGCTTTAATTTGGAAATAATAATGCTGTCGGAATTGCCCGCACCACGCATGCATATATAGCCACGAAGATGCCACCTGTTTTGTTTTTGCGTGAATATGGTGCGTGCGTGCGTGTGTGTGTGATTTCGCTGCATAAGACTAATCAAGAATGGACATATTGTAATATCAGTTTCAAAATGAAACGAATCTGTTACAAAATGGACCCCAATCATCTTGGGGAAAACGCCCAAATAAACCATACTGATCCCCACACTGGTGGAAACAGTCACATAAACATTAACAACAACAAAAATATTTTAGCTCAACAATATAATATTTCAGTGTTGTGTAGTTAATTTCCTATTCAAAAACTGCCAACCGGAAGTAATGACTTAGTACTAGTATACTCGGACCCCGTGGTACCGCGGCATTCATCGTATCGCGGCATTTGTGATTTCCGGTAGTTCACGCGGGACACGCCTCTTATCAGCTGTCTATTAATGCTAATCAGTAAACAATTTCAATTTCCTCGGAATGTTCCGTCTGCTGTAAGTAAGGAGTTATTTCTGCGTTGATACATATTTCTGGCATCTTTTGTAATATTGCCTTACCCCCATCTATCAACGGCCGACGATATAACCCGCAGTTCCCCAAGTAAACTTTCTCTATCGACCTGAACTAGATCATCTGCATATTCATAGAGACTAATAAGGTAACGGAAGTTACGTAGTCCGCACATTTTGTCCCGCTCTGTGTCCAGAATCTATTGGGAGATCATAAGGGCCATAATGCCAAACTTACAGAAGTACGTTCTTCACAAGTAGCCAAAAGATAAATACATACTTTGGGCATACTAGGAGTGTTTTTTAAATATATTTATTGTTAACGTTTAACATTTTTCCATTATGTGGCAATTTATTTTTTATAAACGATCTTAGAATATAATTTCTGATATTTTGTTTTTGATTTTTAAAATATTTTTCTCTTACTTTTCTGTAAACATGCATTGAATAACTATTACAGATAACACATTTAGAATTTTACTTGTGCTGTCTTTGCACATGTCTGGACGAATCACTGATGTCTGGCATGATCATACTAAGTGGTTGGTAGAATTATGTCATTTTTTGTGTCCAATTCGGACCTCCATACACAACTTTTCTCTGTACCGCGATACGATGGAGTTCTCTCCCTTGTCAAACTGAGCGCGAGGCCCGGCTTTTACTCGGAGCTACTAATGTAAATAATGAACTTTTATCAGTAAAATATGCATTGTTAGATAAAATAAATGACATCTGATATAGAGAACACGAATAATCATAACGGTTAGTGAGTGCATTTTGTTCCGTCCAGCGTACATGACAAGTACCGCTATACCCCAAAGTTGCAGGCTATATATATATTTAAGACACAAAACACTATCATTTTCTTGCCGTACATCATGTTATAAGGAAGGATAAAGATTCAGCCTCTGTTTTATCATAAAGAATATGGCGAGTTCCACGAGTTGAGGTTTCATCGTCCTGCATTATAAAGTGCGTGCATGGTCTGCATATAAAGAGAAATCCTGTAATTCGAACTCTATTAACACGATATATCGATTAAAACAAATCTCAATGGTTCAGGCAGAATCTTTGCAGAAACACTTGGTCTAATTCGGGATCACCTGGTGTCTCGCTTATATCGGCATACCATGTAATATCATCTTCCCGAGGCAAGGGAGTTGACTGACTGTAAAAGTCCAGTTTCTACTGGACTTTTACGGTCAGTTTCAGTTTCGGTCCAGTTTCCACTGGTCTTTTACACTCAGTTAACGCCCTTGCCTCGGGAAGATGGGTATAATATCGCACGCACGGAGTCTCACTAATTTTGGCACACCTTGAGTCTCGCTAATATCGATATAACTCGATATATTGTGGATGGTCTCGAAGACTAGACATCGTGGTTTCACTGTACAACAAACATAGCGAATAGTTAATACAAGCTAATGTACTTGTGTTATGTGTGCGCGATGTTGGTGGAGACTGTTTTGGGTATATTTGTGGCGGTTGTCAGAGGCAGCTTAAATGTCTGAACTGCAAGTAAAAATATCAAGTGCAGTGGTTGCCAGATTTCAACAGTAGCTAATGGAGTTTTCCATGTTGGGTTTGTATTAGAATTGAGTTATCTCCCCTTGTGTGCATGTACACGACAGGATTCATCGTTCTCGAAGTTTCTGTATGGGACACACCTGGCTGTGTCTACCCGAGGGGCTTGTTTCTAATCTACTTGCGAAGTCCGCATTGGATACCTGTTCGGAAACATCGAATTCCTGCAATCATCGAGGCAAGGTTGTTAACTGACTTTAAAAGTACAGTGCAAACTAGACTTTTATAGTCAATTAACGCCCTTGCCTCGGGAAGATAATTCGTGACAGCTTCCAATACTATTCTGGATTCGAGTACTGAAACAGGCCCCTTTCTGGACATTTAGCGTGTCAACATGTTGAACATTCATGAGTGCAATTAAAGACTTACACTAATTCTTGGGTCTGTGACTAATTGCTGTTGCCACTAAGTCTTGTTTGACCCACTGTATTGCCTTTTTTCTTGTAAGCCTAAATCTGTGTATTTAAATATGATTCTATTAGGCATAGATCGTTTGTTGTCATTTACTGATTCCACAGTTTAGTTCTGTGCGAACCGATTTCAGGGTCAACCTCTGCGTGTCACATTTGGAAATCACATCGTTTGAGATATGTATTTTAATCGAATTAATCAAGTGTGGCTATCTTATAGGAACTTGTAATGTTCGGCTTTGTTGCGTTCTTGTGTTTTCGTGTTCTCGACCTTTGGTTAAAGTCACATTTAAAGAAAGAAATACTTGACAAAAGGACGAAATCGTCAGATATTGCATGATTTCCAAATGTCGCATTCAAAAAATTTATTATAAAAGGTACACTTTTAAAAAAGAGAAAGCGAGATTGCTTGAGAAATTCGCGTTCTTGCGGGTTCGCGACAGCGCCTCTTAAACGATATTCTCCGTGATTCCTACAATGATTGGAGTATCAGGATTGAGGATTCACACTGGGTACACGCAGTGTGTCAGAATACATTGCCTAGTGTTTCAATCCCTGCTTGACAAATACCTGATCATTAGCATCTCGAGCAAGCGAGGGGGCGACATGTTGACCTAACCTGATTCTGGAGGACATCTCCTTGAAATATTTACACGAAGTTACAAGTTGCCACTGAGGTCTCAAGCCAGGTCAAATATTTGTCTGGATATAGATACTTAAAGATTTACGGCATGGACGTGGAATGTTTCACAGAAGTTTTCACGTCAGCGTAAGACGGACCGATGTCCAAAGAGCCATAAGTGTGGTTTACTCGTTAATTTGCCATTTCATATATATGCGCTGGTCATAAACAATATTTGAATAAGGTGAGTTAACGCTGTATTGAAAGCTTATGCACTCTTTTCGACTTTATTCGAAGTTGTTTAATCTGAAGTTTATTATATTTGCATAATTATCAGTTAAAGAACTACATCAACATTTCTCAAAGTTTATAATGAAGAT